GATTTATGCTATTAGCATAAACTTTTCACACATTGGAGGTTTAATGTTAGCATTAAAGTGTTTAATGGTATTTAACATATTGGAACTTAAAGAGAACTGCTAGTCAAACCATCTTGACAAAAGCGCTAATAGAAGCCTAAACATAATGAAATATCGGTAATAATTTCTGTGTTAGAGCATGTTCAGAAAAATTTATAAGCTTCTCCGTCTTTCTTCTTTCCAAATTAGATAAAGGTGTTCCCAAAATGTTTAAGAGTTTTGGTTTTCGTTTCATAGCCTTTGGAGTTTATGAGACTCCTAGAATATTTCTTTCAAAATAATTTATCTAATTTTAAACTCATGGATAAGGAAGAGTGATTTCATCCTGTATTGTTCAATATAGTAACCTGTAGCCACAAATGACTATTTAAATTAATTAAATTAAAATTAAAAATTCAGTTTCTCACTTGTACTGTCCACATCTCAAGTGTTCAGTAGTCACATGTAACGAGTATCTCCTGTATTGTACAGACAAAGGTACATTACTGTCTTTTCAGATACAGAACATTTCCATTATTACAGAAACCTATTGGACAGTGCCCGTCTAAAGCATTCCTCTCATTTTCTGTGGAAGTGTATCTTAATTAAGATATCTAGCGAGCTATTGTTACATACTAAAGAAATTTCCCAATTCATTTCCTCATCATTTAGAACATTTAAAGATATCGGGTACCACACAGGCTTTGGATCTATTTTTAAAAGCATAGGGAATGGCATCATCTTTTAATTCATCACTGGATGTGACAAGATAAAAAGAAAAAAATATCTTTTTAGCAGAAGCTTCTACTTTTTTTCATCTTTGCTGAACAACTGTCAGAAAATCATGCCTTTCTGCCTTGCAGAGATGTTTCCAATATTAATTACAGGAAGGATGCACTGAAATCAAGAGCACAGTGCACACCTCCAGCCTCTAAAGATAAACAGAGTGGACTGCCCTGAATTGGGGTGATCCATGTGACTAAACTGAATCACCCAAGCAGGAAAAAAAGGAATGTTTTTGCTAACTTGACTCCAATTGGTTTTATGAGCTAAAACATTCCAAGGATAATTGTGTAATCACTGTATAGAGTAATGTAAATATTCATCCCTGAAGTACTCTGTCACTCTTAAAAAGTAAGTTTGGGTTGATGGGATGAGGACAGTAGAGATATTACTGTGAATTTATTCTTTCCAAACATACTTAACAATGAAAGGAGAGGTATCTGTTAGATTTTCAGTTATATTCGTTTAAGTTGAGGTAAATGTTATGGTTCTGTTCACCCAACACTCAAAATTTCTCTCTTTTCCATTCCTGGAGGAGAAAAATTAAGTACTTGAGAAAGAAGGACATTCCCACATGATACCTACTTTGAACCTGACATTCTGAAATGGAGGCTAGAATTCTAAAGAAAATTTCTAATTACCACATTTCAATAGAACATCTTAAATTACTTAATTGTACTTTTTCTGTTTCTTTTTAAAATAGTGTGACTCCTGGTAGATTTTAATCACCTTAAGCACACATATTCCTTTCTCTTAATTTTGTTTGTTGTGATACAAAATCATATTTAAGATTTAAATGTGTGATTAGATCATTAACTAGGAAAAAACTGGCATCTATGTGCAGGTGATCAGATGACATAAGCAGTCTGGTTTTAATTTGTGGCCAGTACTGATTGTAACTAAAAGAGACTTGCTCTTTTTGTGGAATTGGCTGACTATTTTCCTACATCTGGAGTTAATAAAGTCTTTGAGACCACATCAGTTGTGCTTTGCCGCAAGAACTCTTTGATCTGAAAAATCGCAACTGGCACAACTGCTGCTTCATAACATTGCATCTATGTTTTTGCAAGCTATGGTTAAGATACCAAAAGTAAAGTTTTTTGTCGTGTGTTAGAAATGCTGTTAGATGGGCCTCTTTGAGAACCATGGTTTTCAAAACATTTTTATCATGATAAAAACTTTGAACTTATGTTAGTAAATAAATGATAAACTTATAGTAATTTAGAGTTTTTACCATTTTCATTTATAAGATCTATTCTTTAAAAGTCCATTTATCTTTTTCAAAGTCTATTTATAGAGACTAACATTAAAAACAACTTTTGCCCTAAAATGAGCCCTGTGTTCTCAATACAGCTTCAAAATTTTTACATACGAGTAGGCAAGCAGGCAAGCCTCTTCTTCGTGTGTTTTATCTTGGTTTTCTTGCTTTCCATGATAGTCATCAATTAACCATTATCTGATCAGCATATTCTCCTTTATTTACAGCGATTTGTAAATCAGTAAAGTCAGCAAAAGTTCTTTTGTAAATCAGCAGAAGTTCTTTGCTTTTATAATTGCATACATTTAAAAATTTTTAAAGTGTAAGTTTATCTTGTATGGAATATAGTGAATTGAATAGAAATAAGGATAAAGAAATATATATTGGGAGATTATATATCAATTTTAACTGACAAATTATGTAGATTTTTTGTGTGAAATGACACATCAAAACTGGAGTTTTTCATAAGTATCATTGGGAGGTTTACATACTGTTTCAATCTAAAAGCTAGATAGAATTAGAGAACTTTATATTGTATACTTTCAGATCAGTGATGGTATACATAGTAAATAAGCATTTGTGACAAAAACGTGTTCTAATGCTGTCTTCTAAATTTTATTCTCATTTGTATTTTCTTTCTACATCTCGTTTTTGTTGTTTGTGGTTTCAGCATAGTTTGGGAAAAATCTGTATATTATAAAGGGGACAGAGGACATCTAGCTAAAGCTAAATTTTGATGCTGAAACTTGATTAAAAGAAAAAAGTACAAAATTCCTTTCCTGAAAACTTTTCCTGCCTATCAGCCTATCTAATACATTGCAAACACATTTGTGTATATCCAGTTCTTTCATTCTAACTCTGTCTTTATGTCATAGCACCGAACTAGAAAAATATGTTTAATATGTATAATGCATAATCTCCTATCTAGGATCCTTCTGGGTAATTCTTAGGAATATATCTTGTCCCAAACTTTTCAGGTACCACAAGTGTGTGTTTTCTCCTCTGGGATATAAGAAGTAGGAAACTAACCTGAAAGGCAGTCCATTAAAAAGACACACCTGTGCTTATAGTAGCATGGCTAGCAAGACTAAAAATTGACTTTTTAACCTTTTATCTAGGGTGAACTGTATATAAGTAGGATGATGTTAGACAAAAACTATAAGAAATAGCAGTTTGAGTACTAAACAGGCACAATATGTAGCAGTGTAACTGCTCTTAATAAGAATTAGAAAGATATTATTAGCTAATACGTAGTGAGTGGTTACCATGCTAAACATTTTCGAGCCTTCTGTGCGCCTTAGCCATCTTGAGGAATCCAGGTTGTTTTTGTGGGTTTTGTTTTTTTGTTTGTTTGTTTTGGGGGGAGGTTGTTTTGTTTTGTTTTGGCTGCACGGCTTGTGGGATCTTAGTTCCCCAACCAGGGATCAAACCTGTTTCTTCATCATTAAGAGGGCAGAGTCCTAACCATTGGACTGCCAGGGAATTCCCTAAACATTTTGTATGTATTATCTCATCTAATCTTCCCATCAACCCCTGCCCCCCGATGCAGGTAATGTTAGCACCATCTTACAAATGAGGAAATTGAGCCTCAGAAGGTTAGGTAATTTGCCAGGAATCTTTACAGTTAGTTAATGCCTCAGAGAAAGAATAAATGACAGTTTATGTAAATAAAAAATTGGCTCCCATTTTAATCTGTGTGTGCTTCCTCCACTTTTTTATTAGTGCATAGGAATGTATACTTGATAAAAATATCAAACTGTGTGGAAAGGCATAAAGCAAACGTCTTCCTCCCCAGTTATAAGTCCAGAGGTGTAACCATTAAGTTTCTTACATGTAATTCCAGAAATCTTCTGTGCTTATGCAAAAAATATGTGGATGCTTTTTTTTACGCATCCTCCCATAATTTTATTGAGCTAGTTACTTTTTTCCACGTTAAGTGAACACTTTGAATTTTTATTTTGGATTAAAATTTAATAGTTGTACCCTTATCAGACTAAACAAAAGAAATACGTTTCACACACTGCTCACAGTAGGACACCTTTCCATTCTTCCTGACTCCTGGTTTACTTTTACTTTAACAGACCATGTATCACCTTAAGTGTTACTTACTTGTCTTCCTTCTTGGTTTCAGTAGTCATCATGGGAATGGTTTGATCATGTTTTGATTATTACAGTTATTTGGATGCCCATTTAGTTTTCCAGAGAAATGACAGAGTTGGCCATTTGCCAATTCAAAATGTTCATACTTTGTTTATCTGAAGCAAAGGTTTACCACAGGAAATTAATACTGCTCTGACAGATTAAATGAGCCTTTCCTGAAAGCTGTGCCAGACTTGAAAATTTACTTGAAATTAAAGAATTAAAACCCCTGAGCAGAACTTGGTTTAATTTTGCCAACCCTACTAAGTTAAGGAAGTTTCTGAACAATTGTGTTGTGCCTTTCACAGTTAACTTTTAATAGTCATAAAGAATAGTAACATTTAGTCTAACTCATTTTGATTTTGATAAATCTTGTAACAGTGAAAAGAATGGATTTTATGAACAAATTCATAAAATAAAACAAACTTTATTTCATGCTGTATTCAAAAGACATTAGTTTCCACTATCACATTTTGAATCGTGAGCCTATATGGATTTGTGTTTTGTAAGCAAAGTCAACATTTGTGACTTTATTCAACCACCTGATGTAATTGTCACACAAAGATGCATTACAGGGATATTTAGAATAGTTTTTTCTCTAGTAATCAGCTAAAAACAAACAGGTAGATAATATCCAAGTTAGACGTTATTTATGAGGATTTAGGCCGTTTGTTTGGATTTGTGGTAGGCCTTTTTAGATATTGGATAGGCCTTTTTAGGCCCTTCAGGAAATGTAACACATTTTACATAAGTGGTATGACAGTCATTTACATTTTAATTAAATTTCCTGTTTAATTTTAAGGTATATGCACCATCCCCAAATTCAGATGACTTCAACCGTGAATCTCCTAGTTATCCATCTCCCAAGCCACCAACCAGTATGTTTGCTAGCACTTTCTTTATGCAAGGTAAGTACTGCCAAATAGTTGTCAAGTACTACAACAGTTATCTCTTGTATATTAGCTAATATTTTAAAGTTGTGAGGAAAGAGAATATCTGTATAGAAGTTCAGACATTTTTTATCTAGATATGTTTGGCTGAAGCAAATTAAAATTTAGTTTTAAAGTTTCCTATTGCTAATTATTGCTGACTGCAATGTAGTTGGATTACTCAGCGAAGCATCGGAGTGCCCATCTAATATTGATTGAATTTATAAAGGACTTCAGTTGAGAAAAGTGAGTAAAGCTGCTCTTTCTCATTTTAGGATTTAAATGTATAAAAGCTATTAACAATTTTAGTTTCTTGTTTAAATTACAGATTCATATCACCCCTAGAATTATCAGTGCAAATAAAAAGTGAATATCATAGAACAGAATAAGACTTTAAGAGAGAAAAAGTGTTGCACTTCCTTTCATTCTTGTTAGCAAATCATTTTTATTTGGTCTTCTGTGGTTTTGGACTATGGGAGCAATAAATTACTACATAAATGGTTCCTTGACTTTACATTGGTGAGTGAAGTCATTGCTAACACATTTCTTTTGAAGGCTGACTATAATATAGTCATTATCCATTACTTAGGTTCTCTGTAAGAGAAACTTCTTTATTCTAGTTTGAGAATGTTTGGTATAATATACATTGCTTGTAGATTAAGAACTTTTTGTATATGGGTATACCATTTAACCAAAAGTTAAATCCAACCTATCTCCAGATTTGGAATTTTTATTGTCCTCCCTGATATGAATTTAGGTCTTGTGAGGATTTTTATAATGACCTGCCTACTACAGTTTCAATTACTTTTTCTCCCTCTAACTATAAAGCTTTTTTCCTTCATTTAACATAGTAACTATACAGTTTGGAGGGAAGAAAACTAGATGTAAGACTAGGTTGGAAAGGGGAAGAAAAACCTATCTGGAGGGTACCCTTTGAATTTTTATAGCATCATCAAAATAAAAGAAAAAATATTGGCTAAGGAAAATTTTATATTTCTCTTTTTGTCTTAGATGGGACCCACAATTCTTCTGACCTTTGGAGTTCATCAAATGGGATGAGCCAGCCTGGTTTTGGTGGAATTCTGGGGACCTCCACTTCCCACATGTCTCAATCCAGTAGTTATGGCAGCCTTCATTCACATGACCGCTTGGTAGGCTGTAACACATGACTAGGGTGCAGCAACACTTTGTCCTCACTTGTGTTTCTTTTGGATTACAAGTGTAAGATTTGATTCTGCCAAAACTTCTGAATTTTGAAATACTTCTAGGCTTACTTCATGCCTTTTGAAAAAGTAAATGACAAGAGTAGTGCTCTTCAGCTGCTAATTTATGATGTTCTTTTTAACCTGTTATAGTAGTTGCCCAGTTATATGTGCATATTATTCAGAAAATATATTTAATAGATCATGTCTCTTTCCCCCTTTCTTTAGAGTTATCCTCCACACTCAGTTTCACCAACAGACATAAACACAAGTCTTCCACCAATGTCCAGCTTCCACCGTGCCAGTACCAGCAGTTCACCTTATGTTGCTGCCTCACACACCCCTCCCATCAATGGATCAGATAGCATCCTAGGTGAGCTTTTTTAGGTTGGCAAAACTCCCTAAAACTGAATTTGGCGATTTATAGTGAATCTCATATTTTTGAATACATATATATATATTTTTGTTCTTTTCATATTTTTTTTTCCAGCTTTATCGAGATACACCATTGACATATAGTGCTGTATAAGTTTAAGGTGTACAGTATAATGATTTGACTTAAATACATCATGAAATGATTATCACAATAAGTTTAGTGAGCATTCATTATCTTATATAGACACAAAATTAAAGCAATAGAAAATTTTTTTTTCTTTGTGATAACCCTTGATTACTCTCTTAACTTTCCTAAATGACATACAGCAGTGTTAGTTATATTTATCATGTACATCCCCAGTACTTACTTATAACTGGAAATTTGTACCTTTTGACTCAACGTATTTTTTAGTATTGAGTTTAAAAATGAAAGAAAGGAGGAAAAGAAACTTTCTGATTTTCATTAATGTACAAACTGGTAAGGAACCCACCTTTACTTTAGCTTACTAAATACAACACATGCAGAGTATTTGCAGGTTTATTGTGACAGATGTGCAACAACAATGGAGAACACCATTGAAATAATGGCAGAGTGCTAAAAAAGCATGCCTCCTTGCCTGCTAAACTTCTTAATTTGTTTTCCTCTTTGAAATATTCAGGAACCAGAGGAAATGCTGCTGGAAGCTCACAGACAGGTGATGCACTTGGAAAAGCTTTGGCATCTGTAAGTATTGAATTTACATATTTTGCTGAATGATTTTTACACTGCTGAATGCAGTGGTTAGATTTTGTGGGCAGTATGCGTCATAGTTAAAGGGTGTAGTTATAACAGGACCACTTCATTACTCATTTAGAGCTATTTTCGGTTTGTATTGATTTGTACTGCCCTTAAAATAATTCACAAGAACACTTTCCCACCCTATTCCCACAAGAACTGTCCTTCTACTTTCCATTTAAATATCTGTTTTTGTCTTAATGCAACAGATGTAGGGAAAAGAAAAAGAAATTTGGGCATTTTGAAATCTAAAGCACAGATTACTGAGGTTAATAGTTAAATCTGTTTATTAGTTTTAAACATATACTTTGTGAGTTGCCCATTAAAATAAGTCAAGTGGAACCAAGAAACATAACTCAGTTATTCTTCTGATCCAGAGAAGGAAGTGCTTTTATAAGGATTTTTTTCTAACATGGAAGGTATTTTATATATTTTTTTTAAAGGAAAGAATAAGCATCTGCTGCTGATTCATTTAAGACATAGGAGATGAGAGCCTTTCCAAAAAGGAAAAAAACAGATTCATTGAAGAACCCACGCTAAAATGAGTAAAACTAATTTGAAGGAATCCCATAGTATTTTCCTCAGCAAGTAGTTTACATCACACCAGAATGTTAATGACAAAGCAATGAATTGCTTTAATAAAGGCAGTGATCGGTTTTAATATATATGATCCTTAAAACATTGAAACGAAATCCACTCTTTTGGGAGAACATTTACCGGTAGTCCATAAAGATTCCAAATCTAATTATTTAAGAGGTACTTCTGCTTTGTATTTTCTAAAGTTTCTCCTTAGGCTTTTTCTTCCTTCCTTTTTTCCTCCTGAGTGATATGCCTCTCAGAATTTTTAGAGTTGTCTTACTTATGTCTTACTATGAAGTGCAGTTAACTCTGTCAAACACATTTGCTGCTGTTCATGGGAAAGGCAGACCACTTAATGTGTGAGTAGTAGGAAGCAGCTGTTGAAATTTAAAGAGATAAACCTCTTTGTGAATGGTTTCTGTAAATAAATGTTACTCTAGAGCAGTACACGTTTCTTGAGAAATGAAGCCAAGTCAAATTCATCTACCACATAGTGGTGGCTCACACAAAATAGAGCTCAGTAAATGTTTGTTGAATTCAGTCTTGCATCATATGACAAAAATGATGATGATGATAACAAAACCCACAAAAATATCATCTGTAATTTGTACGCTTACTAGGTGCTAGGCACTATACTAAGCATTTACATGCGTCGTTTCATTTAATCCTCAAGAAAGCCCTGTGAGGTTGGCATTATTATTCCCACGTTACAGATGAGGAACTAAGGTTTAAAAGGTTAAGTAACTTTGGCTCAGAAAGATTAAGTAACTTGCCCTAGGGATCACCAGGCTAGGAAAGGTAAAGCCTAGATATTAGATTAGATCTGATCTAACTAGCTTCACTTCCAGAAAGACAGTGGTACAGTGACTGTTATTTTACAAGGTGTTGATGAGGATTAAAGGGAGTGGTCTCACTTATTCTGGACTCACTCCACATGATGTAAACGACCTACTTTGGAAGAAAATTATTCTATAATATTAAATGAGTGCCTCCCAGGTATTTGATTGACTTGCCAGTTCCTTCTGCTGATTCTGTAAGAATCCAGTAGCAGATACTTCACAGGTAGAAAGACAAGTAACATTTGAACTTTCGATACTAAGCAACTTAAAAAAGTATAACCTGCATTTCAGGGGCTTTTTTCTCAAAAGTTTTTGTTTATTTTAGTCAAGGAAGACTTCCATAAAGGATCCTTGGCAGATAGGCAGGCAGGAATTTGTGATGTTGTCAGTGGTCCTCCAAGCTCCTTTTCAGTTACCGTTCAAGTCCGTGACTATTCTGCCATATTACGACCAACATACTAGCTAAACCAATTGGCATTTGGAAAAGAAGATCTAAATTCAGTGTGAGTGGAAGCCAGGGGAGAATGTTTAATCTAGTTAGTGGGTGGGCTTTGGTTGTCATGGAAACTCAGCTCTGTCATCCTGTGTTGTTACTAGGCAGGAGCAGCCAGGTCATTCCATAAATCATTTCTGTCATAGCTGATGGTGATGCATTCCATCTGCTCCATCACTGCATGCCATAGTCTGCACACTTCAGATCCCTTCCTTCAATCCATCTCCTGCCCCACTCTGCACCAGACACCTCCCCCAAACACATTCTTTCTCTAACTTCCATTACAAACTCACATTCACTTTAGTGCTCTTAGAATGTCCTGAAAAACAGACAAAAAATTACATTGGGGATAGGAAGGATTAGAAGAGATGAGGAGAAGGAATTTTATGAGGATTACATTTGAGAGTCTGACATGCGTCTCAGAATTTGATGTTAGGTATTACAGATCTTTGGAAATGGTGACCATGAGTATTTGAAATTTTAAGTTCTATAGAATGTGACATTTTAAATACAGCATCTAGGTTTAGATGGAGAAATGCCATGCTATTGTCATTAGAAGTTATTTCTAATAGCTCCCCAAATGTCTGATATATGTCTTAGATGGTCTTTCATGTGTGAAACAGAGGTTACAACCTTTGTTCTTCAGTTTATGTATTAAAAAGCACACAGAATACTGGGTGATTAAACATGTAAGGCCAGATAATACATTCGCAAAGGTTCCTTTATTTTAGGTTTAAGCCTGGATAATTGTGGTCTTAATCTCAGGATAGCTAGAAAGAGAATTGTACATGAAAGTATTTACACAAAGTTCCCAAAGCCCTATGGATTATGCATTAGTTTAGATAATAAACTGGGGTAGATAGAGGGAAAGGAGAATCTGGATATTCGTGCCATTTCTGTGTTTCCCTGAACGTCTGCCAGACAATAACCCTTTAAGATTGTGCCCGTGGAGAGTTATATAGAGAAGAAACATCTGGTTTATTTCAGTGCCTAATACCATATCAAAACACTTGGTCTTTAATTTAGAGGAGATCAAACAAGAAGACTGTTGAACTTTGTTGATTATATCAGACTTCTTTGTGATAATTTATGTTTTGATTTCTACCTCAGAGCAAAGGAAAGGGAGAGAGTATGTGTATGTGTGTGTATTGTGTATGTGTATGTGTGTGTATGTTTTAATCTAGATAGTTAAATGGTCAGTAGTCTCTAACAAAAGAAAAGAAAATTCAGGGAAGTTGATGTTTAAAAGTAATTCATGAAATAAGTTTCTTTGTTCCTTAGACTCAATAACATTAGCATAATAAAGATTAACTGAAATGTGCACTGTAGTGTTTAAAAAATTGGGCTTGCAGTTCCAAGGTTGGGCTTGGGAGCGCTCCATTGTTTCTTTTTTGTCTGAAGCCCTTTTCATTAGCTTCTGGCTTATTGGCACCCTGCTGATTGGAATAGACCATGACTGATAGGAGGAGGAGCCTCATTTGTTGCAGTAAAATGAGGCATATTACCGTTTAAGCCTGGCAGAAGGTATTGGGAGTTATTCATCATTGGTCACTTAACAGTATGAGGACCATGGACTGCATGTAGAATGAGTTCTTACTTTGTGTTTAGGCTCTAGATTCTAAATCACTCCCATCCCCATTTTTTAAGTAACTGATTTTTTTTCCTTCTCTTTTTTTTCTTTGAAACATCTATGTTAGGGGTTCTTTAAGGTCAGAAAGTACAAAAAGTAATGTATTCCTGATTTAGAATGCTCTTTGTCAAATAAAGCCTTATGTTTAGAATTTCTTAAAGTAGCACAACAGTTTCTATAGAATAAGTATAGTTTGTATGTCATTTGGTAATAGAATAAATTTGCAGAAGTGAAGTTTAATGACATGATCTGTGATCTAAAAGGCTGTATTATTCTGCTGTTTTAATGTTGTTGCTCCCTTCCCACATACATGTTCTTTTTATGAAAGTAAAAGGGACAAGAAAAAGTCCTGTAATTTGCCAGGCTATCTGTCAGTTCAGGAAAAGTATTAGTAACAATTCTGTCTGTCATCACTTTAATTTAGGGCAAAATAGAACCAGGGAATGTGATGAGTGAGTGGAGAAAATACCTTTTATTATACAAATGGAGAAGGTGCTTTTGATAAAAACACCAGAAATTATATGTTGATATGCTTTTGGTACTGCTTCTCCTGTTTTCACAGTGATTTTTAGGAGCCCACACCCACTTTATACATGACATCATTTTGCTTAGTCATTGCAAGGTAGTCATTGGAAAATGACTCTAAAGTATAAACTTCCTCTTTGAGATAAGGAAGTTGTCACCAGTCCTTCACGTGCTTAGGGATTATTTCGCTGTAATGGCAGAGTTATCAGGGAAAATAAGGGTTGATAGCCTGCTTATATCCTCAAAAGCCCATACCTGCCTAATGTTGTGGTATGGACAGCTTAGTACATCAACACTAATTCTCAGAAATATTGGAACCTTACCATATTGTTGTTCTCAAAGCTTATACCGTAAAATTGATTTGTAAATGAATTCATCTTTATAATAGTATCTTTCTCTCCCCTGGGTATTACTGTTACTGAACCCCACTGTATAAATGCTGAGATAAACTGCTATTTACTGAATTCTGCTTTTTTATCAAAAAATATTGTAGCGAATTTCATGTGCAATTTAATCGCTCAAGTTTTTTTTTTTTTTAATATTCAGCACCTACTTGTGCAAAACAGTGACAATGATGAATTCAGTGTTGAACAGTATAAGGTCCCTGCTTTCAAAGAGCTTACAGTCAAGGAGAGAAGATAGAAAAATGGTAACATAGAGCATAGTGTGAAGTAAAATACCAAAGAGAAGTAACAGGTTACACTAAGAATATAAGGGAAGTGAAAATGAGTGTAAGTGGGGAGGTTACATTTGAGTTGGGCTTTGATGTGTTACAGAATTCCATCAGGGAGAAGTTAAGAAACAAGCCTTTTGCAAGGACAAGCTGTGTTCAGAAAATGAAAAAAATATTTTGTTTGATATAATGCTTTATGTAGGTTATAAGGTAGAAAGATATTTTTGTAACCAGATAATGGAATACGTCAAATGTCATTCTGTTTTATTTAGTAGACAACAGGAAGTGCTATATGGCATTTGTTCAAAACTGGTTGAGGACAATAGCTCAGTCAATTATGTATGGGATGAAAGGAGCGGGGAGTAACTAAAAATATAAAGACTTAAATAGTCCAGCCATAAGTTCTAGTAAAAGTTTAAGGTAGTGTAATGGCAGTGAGAATGATGTATGCCCATCCCATAAACATTATAGAGAATTGTGAGCATTGGTGTCTATGGTGGGAAGAGTGGAGGAGCAGGAGAAAGGAGGGGAGAGTGAGAGTGGTTTTGGTGACCAGGAGAATACTGGTGCTAACTGAGATAGAGGAAACAGAACAGTAGAGATGGGAAGGGTGGGAAGCTTGGGGCAGTGATGCAAAGTTTGGGTTTGGACATACTGAGCTTGAGATGAAAGAAAGATATGCTCAGATGGAGAGGTCCAGCAACCAGTAGGAGGATAGAGGTGTCAACTTAGGAGTCATTCACATGGATGTCGTAGTTGATACTTTATAAAGAATGGTATTACAAAGAGAGGAAACACAGGTAAATAGAAAAGAAAACTGAGACTGGAGCTCTTGGAAAACCTACATTAAGTGAACTGTATAAGAGAGTAAAAGAGAGAAGGAGCCTGGGTAAAAATTATACATCCAAGGATTTAAAAGGGATACCCAAATGCTAACTTCTTTCAAGGAAGATATCATTCATTCTTTAAGCAAGTATTTATTTACCAGCACTTTGTAGAATCGGAAGCTACTGCAGATGCTGTGTAATTCACATTGGTCTGAATAAGACCAAGTCCTTGCTCTTCTGGAACATGCATTTCATTAGGGAAAAGGGTGAAAGAGACATATGATAAACAAGTAAACAAATTTAGGCAATTAGGGATTAATGTAAGCAGTATGAAGAAAACAAAGCGGGAGGTATGATACACAGGGAATGCTGTTTCTCCAGTGCTTTCATGCGATTAATTCATATGGTCAAGGAAATTGAAAGTCAGCAAGTTAGTCTAGTTTATGATAATCAAAGTTTTGCATGGAAATGGAACTTCTTTCACTCCTCAGCCACCCACCATCAGTGTTATCAACCCTTCCCTCCCTTACCAGTATTATAGTCAAGACATATTTCATATGTTAGCATCAGTTGTTCATAAAAGTTATAATTATTTGAATCATAAACATGAGAAATAGTGATTTACAAAAATAAAAGGGTATGTTGAGATATGTTTTTGTTGAAGTTCGGTGACGTTATCTAACTTACTTATGGTTGAAATAAATCACTGTATGTATGCAAGCCATTAGGAACCAAAATGTGACCTTTAGCTAATTTTCACAGGTGTGAAAAGTGACAACTTTTAAAAGGTAACAACTTTGACAACTTTAAGACCAACAACACTGATGTTATAGCATACTACTTCCCTATTACTAAGTCTTCCCATAAAGTTTTTTGAAGTCTTCTTGATAACTGTGCTTTTCTAAAATGACTCTCCAACCTGGGAATTCCCTGGCGGTCCAGTGGTTGGGACTCGGCACTTCCACTGCTGGGGGTCTGGGTTCAGTCCCTGGTCGGAGAAGTATAATCCCGCAAGCTGCCTGGCGTGGCAAAAAAAAATTTTTAATAAAATGAAATGACTTTCCAACCTGAATATACAACTTTTAGATCTGGCTCTTTGGAAAGAGTTGGTGTGTAAAGGGATTTCCAGTTACCATTTAGTAACATCATACAAATTGGTATAGATATACTCATTTGTAGTCAATGCTTACAATTTAATTGGTGCTATCTTCTTTTTTAAAAAAAAAATGAAAGCTGTTAATGTTTGATGATTGTGACCTGTGGAATTTTGTTTTACGTGAGCCTGTCCTAGTATCTGACTTTTTCAACGTATTATACTGTCTGTAAAACCAGTGCTGAGACCCCATATATGCCATAATTTGGGCCTCTTTAAATTTATTAGAGCTCTGAACTTACTCAGAGCAAGATTATTTCTATTGGATGACACTTTGCACCCACAAGTAGTTTTCCTATTTAAAATATTTGACCACAGTTTCTCCAAATAAGTTGATTTGTCTGCCCTGAGTGCTGAGATGTGAAGATGATTTATGATGCCTGTTATAGGAATGGGATTGTCCTAGAGAGGAGTTCCTAGGAACCGTTGGTGCGTGGATTAAAGAGACTTTTTAAATGTTTAATGGTTAATTATGTAAACTTGAATGAATTTCTGTCACTATTTTTTTTAGCAATATGAAATAAATATAAAGTGTTGCAACAAAACCTTTAGCCAAAATACCAAAATTTATGCATCCAGATATGTTACCTCTTAGGAGGTAAAGTCCACAGATTATTTGGGGAACATTTTTTTAAGAACTTTCAGGGTTTTTTCACTTTCTCCAAGGGTGACAAAATATCCTTTGAAAACAATGATTTTTTTACAACACTCACACAACATTAGGAGCTAAATTTGGCAAAAATGTAGTTACTCAAACAACTTTCTAAAAGAAATAAGGGGTAACTATTTTTAAAAATCACTTTCTTTGACTTTTAAAACTATTTTTAGGACTTTTCTCTTCAAAAGGTAACAGTTTCCTAAGATTATTTTTAATGAATAAAATTTATTTAGATGGTATATTCTAGAAAGATTGTTTATCAGACTTGACTTTATAGTCACTTCTCTTTTATCACTTCTCTTTTTTGTTCTAGCAATTAGAAATTTAAATTACTTTCAACTAGGATAATAAAGAAATAGGTATGATCTATTTATTCCTCTCATATTAGAATATATATGATACTTTTTAATCCGAGTTTTAAAACTGGGGCTTCTATAGCCTTTATGCAATGGAATAGTTCTAAAATTGATTAAACAGTTTTTCACTCTGAGGCTTAAGGGTGGCAGCTTAGATTATAGAAATAACTCCATGCAAATAGATTTATATTTTTGCTTTTGTCACACTGATATGTGCATATCTTTTGTTTTCTGGTTAGATTTATTCTCCTGACCATACCAGCAGTAGTTTTCCATCAAATCCGTCAACACCAGTTGGATCACCCTCACCTCTCACAGGTAGGCTTTTGTTTTATCTAACTACTTGATAACATGCATAGGGCTACTTGGAAATATTTGAAGTTTATTTTTCAATAAAATATAGTAAAAACTCACACCAAAAAAATCATTTCTATCCTGAGAAAACATGTAAACAGAGCCTTCTCCTGAGTTCATTTTGGAGAATATTGAAGTATTTCCTGTTTGAATTATTTGTTCATATCTTCTCTGATTCTTAAAATAATTTGTGATAATTTCTAAGAACAATTATTATAACAGGATAAAAAATAAGGCTAAGCAATTGGGATGAAGGTAAAATATAGAGAAGGAGATGAATCAAAAATTTTGATAAGCTAACAGAAAATAAAATAACCTATTTAGAAGTATATATAACTTCTTCCTTATTCTCTGTATTTTCCACGTACCATGTATAAGACTCAAATGAAAAACTCTGCACTAGTTTGTCTTTATTTTTAAGTGCACTGAGTTATTATTTCATATATATATATAAATTCTTGGGGATAATGTAGGGTTTTTTTGCTAAAGAAAAGAACTCTTTGTGAATGTGTATGAATATTGTTAGTGGAGTTAAATAAGTGTTCAGATTTGCATTGCTTTTTTCCTGTTTTTCTTTACAGTAGTTTTAACAAGTTCCAGATACTATCCTACACTATAAATTTGTTGAGATACAACTATTATTATTGTAAATAGGAATTTTTTGATTTATTAGGAATAAATCAAATTACAAGAAGATGCTTGGATCTGATCTGTTAAGCTATAAAACTTGGAATGTGTTTCCTGAGCAGTGTTTGGAGAAAAACCATGCTAAAGAAGAAATGTATTAGTTCTAAGGAAAAGACATTAGACAACTGTGTAAAAATTGCCATTTTCCTCCAACAGTTGACCTCAGAAATGATTCTCTATTCCTGATCAAAGTCACTAGTTCAGTCCATGTGGCGTTGTTGTTGTTGCTGTGAAGCCTTTTTGCATTGTTCAGGGTTTCTGAAAATCAAGGCTCTGGTGTATCAGGGCCCTGGCTATCACCTGTGCTCTGTGATTTAGCCTTGTGACTCTGCTAAGAAGCATTCCAGTGTGGAAATGATGAACTGCTGGCAGCTGCTTTCAGCTATTAGTGGGTTCTGCCACTTTCTCAGACACCATGGCTTCAGCTGTCTAGTAAAAGCTGAACAGCTGTTCCCCACATAGACAGGACTATGAAAGACCCATTGACTTAAAGTTGTTGTTTAACAGAGGGATGAAATTACAGGAAGAATGATGTAACTTTAACCATACTCACCCTCTTGGCAGAGTTTTACTAAAATTATCAGTGTCATTTTTGCCACAGCCTGTTTCACTTTCTCATCTCAGGTAGCTATATTGGCCCTTACTGTATGTTCCCACTGCCTCTTCTCCTCTGCCCAGCCCAGTAAGATAAAAGTGTCCTTGGTTTCCATTAACACTGGTTGGGAAGGCAGGCAGCAGAGGAGCTCAGCATCTATGCAGGGACATCAGTAAAATGAAGAATCAGAAACTTAGACATTTTTCAAAAAATAATGGTCCAAAGTAAAATCTCACATTTCCTCCTCCTTTTTTTTTTTTTGAATTTGTTTATTTATTTTTTTAACATCTTTATTTGAGTATAATTGCTTTACAATGATGTGTTAGTTTTTGCTTTATAACGAAGTGAATCAGCTATATGTATACATATATCCCCATATCCCCTCCCTCTTGTGTCTCCCTCCCACCCTCCCTATCCCACCCCTCTAGGTGGTCACAAAGCACCGAGCTGATCTCCCTATGCAATGCGGCTGCTTCCCACTAGCTATCGGTTTTACATTTGGTAGTGTATATATGTCAATTCCACTCTCTCACTTTGTCCCAGCTTACCCTTCCCTTCTCCATTTTTATTTGATGTTTAGTGGATGATATCCTCTTTCCACCTTTAATTCAGCTGATTAATGAAGATCTGTGAAAGGTTAAATTGTGTAATGAAGGTATTAATAGGCTTCTTTTTTCAGTTCTGCAATCATACTCAAAGAAAAATATTTTCATATATTCCTGTTGAAATGGCATCAAAGACTGATTTTATACAGGTGCATCTCTGTGTCTCATCTCCTGTATCTAGTGTTTTCTTCTTATAACCACCCCCACATACACACACACCCCAGGCTGGCAGAGCAGACATGGAAAGGGAGGAGGAAAAAAGGAAAGCAATGGGCGATAAAGTATTCACAATTGAAGGAAAAATGAAAAAGAGCAAACCAGAGCTCCTATATAATAATGTACAAATTATTTTGTACCTTGTGTGGCAGGAGCCTATCATCTAGAGTAAAAATTCCTACCCACTATGTGTGCTCTACACTTGCCCTCTTCCTTATGCCTGAGCATCAGTCAGACTCAGGACAGACCTTGTAAGAATAGTTGCACAGGTGCAAAGCAACATAGGCAGTTTCTAAGGCATTCATCGTTCTTGTTTAAATCCTGCTCATTTTCCTTGGGAACTTTTCAGACTAAGAACATAACATTCCTGCATAGAAAATGCTTACAAGAAAGAAGCTTCTGAGATGATGATATTGTTTTAGTTAGGATACTTTAGGCTGAAAGGAAGAGAAACTCTTGTCTGGACTGGATTAAATAATAAGGGGATTTTGGATATCTTGTATAAAGCCCATAGCAGGGCAAGTTCCTGGACCAGTCAGGGCTCCTGCTCTATTTCTTTGCAATTCTTTACCTCCTTCTAGAATATCAGTGAATAAAAGTTTAATAATTGCAGTACTCAATAGCAATCTTCAGAACATTCACAATAAAAATAAAGAGGGAGTAGGGGGAGATAGGGGAGAAAGGATTCCTCAGTTTAGGCTCATTTCATCAATGAGATATTTATTTTTATCATCTGTCAGTATGCCTGGTGTTAAAGCAGTTACCTGACTTCAGCAAATTTTCAGTTTAGTTGAGAAAATAGAGATAAACACATGAAAATAGAACCGTCAGAATTTACTCTAAACTACAGTTCCTCGGATGTACTTCATGAAGAGAGTATAAAGGAGAAAGAACTTTGAGTATAAAAGAAGAAAGTGTGACAAAGATCAAGATGTAGGAAAGTACCTGACCTGCTCATCCAGAGTCATTGAGATGACTGATTATGAACTCTTTTCACATATTGGAAGTGGAAAGGTTGGCTGGGGCCAGATTGTGGAAAGCAAAGCATTCAGTGCTACATTTAGGATTATTCAACCTTTTCCAAGTGTGGAGTATCTCATGAAAGTTTGAGTTTAGGGTGAGATTACAAAGGGAAACAGCTAACAAAATAAGAAAATGCATGGTAAATAGTCCTAAGAATTTCTCTCAGCCATGCAGAATGATGTTATCTATTCTCTAAATTTATTAACCAGTTTTATTAGGTGGCATATTACTGAATCCCACTCAAGAGTGAGAACAGATCAGAAACACTGGGTGAATTTTAGATTTAGTGATGAAAGAAAGCCTTTCCGGATTTTCTAGCCAAATAATTTGATTCTCTTGTCAGCTAACTTGTTCTCTGGAAATAGTCAATAAATTTTGGTATCAAGTACATTTATTATAATCCTTGAATAACAGCTAGCTTTTGGGGGTGGTCACTAAAAAGCTCAGGGCAATTACAAAAATTGTTAACTATATAAAGAGTTGAAAGCTTGCCCTTATCTAACAGAAGGAAGTAGTATAAGCCCAAAACCTCTGTGCATGTCTACCACCAGATAGCAGGTGACAGGGAAGGAAGGGGGGAAATAACCTATTCTCTGGGAAACCCCTTAGGTTTTTAGCGTTTGTACTTTTGTTTTTCCTTATTTGTGTAATAATGCTGTAGTTGGTGATCACAAGCTAGAGATAAAGATACCAGTATGATTCTAAATAAATCTGTATATTTTACTCATGTACTAGTTTTATAAAAAGACAAAGATGCAGATCTGTCTAGTGTCAGAGGTATTCTATAGCATTATGGTCTCTGTCTAGAATTTGAATTCCATTCACAACCCCAGAGTTCTTATCCATAGCTAATGAGCCATCAGTGGGCCAGAATTACAAAAGTCTATGTATCTTTTTTCTTCATTGATTACATGATAGATCTATCATCAGGAAGAAATAATAATAATATCTCATGGTCAAAAAGACCTTTAGGGGCTTCCCTGGTGGCGCAGTGGTTGAGAGTCCGCCTGCCGACGCAGGGGACGCGGGTTCGTGCCCCGGTCCGGGAAGATCCCACATGCCGCGGAGCGGCTAGGCCCGTGAGCCATGGCCGCTGAGCCTGCACGTCCAGAGCCTGTGCTCCACAACGGGAGAGGCCACAACAGTGAGAGGCCCGCGTACCGAAAAAAAAAAAAAAAAAGACCTTTAGGTTCACAGAGTGAGTGCATTCATATCTTTTACCTCATTCGCTTCATAAAGGCAGAATAAAAACGAAAACAAAAAACTGTGAGTGGCTATTTTTTGTACAGTTACTAGGAATACAGTTATTCCTACAGTTACTAGGTTACTCAGCTAAAGTGAACTATAATAGTTCCAATTTACCATAAGTTTTTAGTTTCCTAAATATGGCGGATTAACCTGCAACAACAAGCTCTGGTGGAACATAGTTTAAAATTTCATTTAGCAATAAACAAGACACATTAAGTAAACCTTCTCCAGCTTCAGATTTCTAATATATTGATAATTCAGTTTGTCACTGAAGATTTGTTAAGAACAAAACCATATATTTAATTGAACAGTCTTCATTATTTTCTATACATAACTTCCTTTCAAATGCACAGTCATGAAATAGTAAAGATTTTCAATCATTTGTTTTGTCTTTTTCTTTTTAAAGCTATTTTGGTTGTTTTAAAGCTATTTAAAGCTATTTTATTTTTTTTAATATTTATTTTATTTATTTATTTTGGCTGTGCCAGGTCTTAGTTGTGGCACGTGGGATCTTTAGTTGAGGCATGCGGACTCTTAGTTTAGGCATGTGAACTCTTAGTTGCAGCATGCATGTGGGATATAGTTCCCTGACCAGTTGAACCCGGGCCCCCTGCATTGGGAGCGTGGAGTCTTACCCACTGGACCACTAGGGAAGTCCCTAAAGCTATTTTAAAACACTGCATTCTCCCCAATACATGAATGAATTAACCCTTTTATTTTTTCTTGTTTTTTTTTTCCTTTTTATTCTTTCTGTTCTGAACTTGTCTCCTTGCTTTTTCTGTCTCCTTTTTTTATTATATTGCCACTTTTCTAAAGTTGAAGAGTAAACAACATTTAACAAAATTTTCATGATGATATTTTCCAAATTAAATAATATGTTTTGGTGTAAATTATGTTGGGAAAATTTTTAGCAGATAATCCTAAATGTATTTGCAATCATTTGAAATTGGTGCATTTGTGCATTACTGGAGGCACAAGTTAACATGACCCTTTAGAAAGCAGTTTTGGCCTTATGAATTAAGGATCATAAATATGTTCATACCTTTTAACTTAGAAATGCTATTTATCCTTAGACATATTCCCCAAAAGAAAAAACACAATATTACCATTCATAATATAGTGATATTCAGTTACTATTCATAATAGCCAAATGAAAGCAACCAAAACGTCTAGCAGTGAGGTAGCGGTGGTTAAGCAAATTATGATATAGAGAATCAGGTGAATATTAATGTAAGTCATTAATAGCATGATCATAAAGACTAAAAATATGGGGGAGGGACAGAATTTTAAATTATGCATATTTTAAGTACATTTTCTCAAGATATGTGTGCATTTGGACAGAGTGTGAAGAACATGCAAACATAAATGTAGTTATGTTTCAAAGTATAGTTTTTTTCTCAACTCCCTACACAGTTATATTAATAATGAAAAAAAATTTTAATATGTTGGGTTTATCAGTAGCCAGTAACATGCTGAAGACTGAACAAAAATTTTCACATAAATTTATGCACACTTACAATATATCTTTACCCTTTCCTTTAGAACATTATCAAGATCACTGAGTTAACCAAGGTGTGTGGGTGCTTTTGGGTTTTGTTTTAACAGGTACCAGTCAGTGGCCCAGACCTGGAGGGCAAGCGCCTTCATCCCCAAGCTATGAAAATTCACTCCACTCCCTGGTAAGAGCCTCTGAGAAACATACAAGGTCTCTTTTATCTAATAGTGTGGAGTTCTTTTTTTTTTCCCAGAAAATCTTGAGTAGCAGTGAAAAAACAGTAGGATAGCATTACACACGAATTCTTTGCTAACAAATGGCCTGATTTAGTTGAACTATATAAGACACATTGGGTGTGCCTTTTACCATCTGTTCTTTGGAACATCAGGCTTCTGGTCTCAGGACAGCTGGTATTAAAATAGTGTTATGGGATTTTTGTTTCTTTGACAGATCTAGGGTTTAATTTTACTATAATTTTATGTTTACATGTAAAGGAAATTTAAAGAAGAAAAAAAAACACACAGACCAAGTAAGAGAAAATTAGTCCAGCATTGCAAAATGGTTGTATTTTACTCTTTCTCATATGATGATATTGTGTATAGTTTATTACATTTCTGTTAAAATTTTTAAATGTAGCATCAATTATTTTTGTCAGGAAGAGTATTGTTTCCCATGTTTTCTTTTTTAAAAAAGAATGTATTATGTAAATTGTACAAGCAAAACCATTGACAAACAAAGCAGTAGAATAAAGGAGCCTGTCTAGGTATTGAGAGTGAAGAATTTGTGGTAGGGTGTTAACTACTGTTGCCTTTCTATGCTTACCACAGAATTACGAAGCATTATAAAAACAAAATAAGGATGACTTAATGGAATGTTAAGTCATGCTATCATTCAGTAGTTCCAGGTTGCAAATAGAAAAGTTCTTTTTCTGTGACTAACAGAACATTTTAAATTAAAGGAAAGTTTTCTTCTCACATATAAGCAAATATAAGCAATGTGTGCTACTTAGATGCTAACCTTATAACTTTGCTGTTAAATCCCAGCCTTCTCATACCTTAATACAAGTAGATCTTGCAGGTCTCCGCGTTAACTTTACTAACATGTTATGCTGACATGCACATCAGCTATTTCCTCATCTCTTTTGGAGTTAATCTTAACCTGTGCTTTGCCTCCTGTTCTGTCTTGACTTTGCCAGAAAAATCGAGTTGAGCAGCAACTTCACGAGCATTTGCAAGATGCAATGTCCTTCTTAAAGGATGTCTGTGAGGTACTATTTCTTTTAGATGGTGCCTTTTTTGTGTTTCAATTAATTATACTTCCTATTATCCGTTTAAAATCATCAAGCCTGTACAGACTCCAGAGTCTTTTAAAATCAAACAATGACTATTTTCGTTTTTGTAACAATTTGTAAAAATAGGCTTTTGTTGAGTGTGATTCTTTTTAAAAGAGCTCTACTGGCATGTGCTTTTATTTTCTTAAATTCTAATATGTTTGTGTATGGGGCATGTGTATATTCACAGACAGATAATATCATTTCATCAGTTTTGTGAAAGAGCACATTTGGATGTGGTCACCATTTCAGATAGGTATTATAAATATTCACTTAAAACAAAATTACAACTTAAATTTGATGGATTTGAAGACCCTCCCCCAATTGCCCTCATTTCAAAGATCAGTGTTAAAGTACAGGTTATCTTTTTTATCAATGATAATTGAGTATCAGACACAGTAGAGTAGCCTTCAGCTTTTGTAGAAGCTAAAAGAAATAACCTCATGCTAGACTGGTAAATAGATTTTATGAAGCAGTGATTTGCTTCTGAAGCTTTGTTAATTTAGCATAGTCTACAAATATCCTTTCTTTAATTGTTGATTCGTAGTACAGGTAGTTTCTTTTGAAGCTACTTGATATTGCATATTCACTTGCTGCCTTCCCTATATCCCAAAGTAGGAAACATAGCAGTTTAATGAATTTAATAGATAACATCAGTAACCTCCATGTCTTTTTTCAATCCCTACAGCAATCTCGAATGGAGGATCGTTTGGACAGACTGGATGATGCTATCCATGTGCTGCGGAACCATGCCGTGGGACCTTCCACCAGTTTGCCTGCTGGTCACAGTGATATACACAGTTTATTGGGACCATCCCATAATGCACCAATTGGAAGCCTCAATTCAACCTATGGTGGATCAAGCCTTGTTACAAGCAGTCGACCTGCTTCAATGGTAAAATAGTGCTCATCCTTTTGGAAATAACTTCTAATGCGTATTGTCCTACGTGTTTTTCATGAAATCTTTCAGGGAGAGAGGTTCCTTCTTTCTGTAAGGAAGGAAGGTAGAGTGGCTTTTAAGAATTTCTTTTACTGTCTTGGTCAGGGTCATTGGCTGAGCATTGGCCCTTAAAATCCTACTATGACCACGTGCAAAAAGCAGAAACTTTCTACAGAGATCATTTTCGCTTAAACTTGGATTTTTTTTCCAGATATGTAATAATTAGCAGAACAGTTTTTGCCTTGAAACAGTTGTAGAAAGTCTTAATATCAAAAGCAATAAAGCAAGACTGAATTTCAAGGGTTCTGGTCTAGAAAAGCTATTTATTATAATTTGGAACCAGCCTTCAATAGTAGAACAAATGTAATATTATTTGTACAGGTCCAAATTTAAGCTTTATTCCCAAATGAAGGAAAAATGTGGGGTAGTTTTAAGAATGACTGTAATTTAAGTGACAAAGAAAGGAAACAATTTTAGATTAATCCCTGAAGAGAGTAAAATCGTTCAATCCCTTTTTTTTTTTTAACGTGGTAGTTCTTTAAAGGAGGAAAAAAGTAAAATTCTGCAGCCATGCACATCAAAAATTCTGTGTCGAATGTCTTACATTGTTTTTTATACAAATTATGTTTTAAAGGAATGAAGCTCGTTTTGAATCTGCTATTTAACTGAAACCATGTGTTTGCATGTTTATGGCATGGTTTTTAAGATTCATTGCATGCCGTGAAATATTCTCCTATGAAACAGATTTCTAGCTGTAAGCCGTGTGATCAAGGCTAAAACTCACCTATCATCGCAATAATTAGGTGCCCCAAATGCTGAAGTCTTGCGTTCTGTAAAATAGGATTGGTTCCAGATTTTCACATTCACATTCATATATCAGACAGCCATTTATATTCATTCTGGAGTTGCTGAAGTAAACATCAAACAAGGCTGCCTGGTTTCCTAAGAACAGTGTTTTCAGCAACATAGGTGACGATGCCCACATGTCTTAAAAACATTTTTTTTTTTAATATCAGAAGATCTTGAAATTAAGACTCCTTTTAAATTAGCTTTTGTTGCTATTGATAAACTAATAAATGTGAAAGCATTTTTAAATTACTGAATTCCTAGAAATAAAAGGGAATATTGTCATCACTATTAGTGGTAGTAATAAAATAATTTTAACAGACTTATAAGATAGCATTTGTTGCAAGTATAAATTATTACATTGCTGAAATACTGTTTATCCTTATTTAGAAGAATGACTTGAAAATCAGTATGTTTGAATCCTGAGCTTGTCTCAGCCTGCAGTATTTGCAATTCTTAGTCCTCACCTCTTAATCGTTTTTTTAATTCTTCATTGTTAATAGCCCACTGCTCCTTTTTCCAGTTTATCTGCTACAATATATGATATATCTCTGGCTCCTCCCACATAAATATAGAATTTATATGAAATGGAACTTCTATCTTTGGGAGGTTGTTTTTACCAACTTTGGATATAAGTTGGAAAAGAGATTTTTCAAAATCCAGTCCTCCAAAGCCATGTAAAAACATAGTGCATTTTAAAAGAACTTGTTGAGGGAAAAATTGTTTCTAATATTAGATACTGCCCCGAAGCTTTTAGTTAAGAAAGTAGCTTCCATTATATTCACTAGGAATATGCTGCCTACTTCAGAGCTGCCAGAGATATTCTTTAAAAAGGAAAAGGGCTTCCCTGGTGGCGCAGTGGTTGAGAGTCCGCCTGCCGATGCAGGGGACACAGGTTCGTGCCCCGGTCCGGGAGGATCCCACATGCCGCGGAGCAGCTGGGCCCGTGAGCCATGGCCGCTGGGCCTGCACGTCCGGAGCCTGTGCTCCGTGGCGGGAGAGGCCACAGCAGTGAGAGGCCCGCGTACCGCAAAAATAAAAGGAAAATAATTCAAGGTAATCAAGAATAAGAGAGTTCTGAAACATGAGGTGAGTCTGGCTTAGTCTGAGAAGCAGCATCAGTGCTGCAGCAACTAAGCCCAGGCTATTGCTGTTTGTCTATCAAGGTCTTCCTTCAGTTTTTATAGCCTTCTTAGACGACACAGCTGCGAAAAGTCTGCCAGACATCATCTATTATATCCACCCCTTCCCCAATCACTAATGGAGGTGGAGATGCAGATGTTTCTGCCAGGCTTACCCTCAAAAGTTATTAACTGACAAAATCTAAGAATGTCAGGTGAGTTAGTATTCAGCTCCCATCCTTCTGAAATGAACTTCTTAGCTGTGAGTACTCAGTTCTCAGTTTCAGCAGAAAGACCAAAGAATGGAATGAAATGAAGATCACAGTCAGCCAGTGACTGTCCCAGCTAAGTCTTAGGCATATTGTTGAGGAAAACTCTTATCCTGGTGGCTGTTATTCATGTCTGAGGGCTTGCATCAGTACTGCCAGGAGCCTTGCTTACATGCTTTGTACCTACTTATGTGGAATCAACTCTTTTCATACTCTGGGAGGGTGTGTGATTTGGGGGACATCTTGTAACTATTGCCAGCCATCTTTAAGAGTTAATCTGCTTTTATTAGCTCACCCCCATGTTTTCTAACTGATCATGACTAAGAAATAACACAATTTTACATTCTGGAATCACTTTTCTTTTTTTGTCTTGTTTAACTTTCTGGTAGTTTATATACTTTTCCTCTGCATTAACATAAATTAGTATTTTTTAGGCCCCTAAAAATGGAGGTTACATGGCCATTATTACAAAGTAACCACAGAAATATCAGTTTATCAGCAATTCTATATTGCCATTTAGAATTTGTAAGGTCAGTTTCCTCTCAAAAATATTTAATTTTCATCATTTCATTTATTTTTCTGCAGAGAGTAAAACTGGTCTAGTAAACATAAATACCATTCCAGGAACTCCACAGAACATTCAAATTAAATTTTTGATGTAATGGATTTTTGTGGGCATTTACTAGAGGTCACCATCCTAATTCCAAGTTTTAAATATGATGTTACTTTCTCTCCTAGCATTTAAAGGAGAAGAGTCAGCATACTTTTTTTGTAAAAGGCCAGACAGTAAATATTTTCAGCTTTGCAGGCTATATGGTCTCTGGCACAACTACTTACCTCTGATTTGGTAACATGAAAGCAGCCATAGCTGTTATGAAAACAAATCGGTGTGGCTGTGTTTTAATAAAACTTTATTTATAAAAAAGAGCCTCCTTTACTAGTAAAACAAAATAAATAAATAACAGGACCAGATTTGGCTCACAGGCATACTTTACCAATCCCTGATTTAGAACAAAATTAGCTTCCCAGTGCAGGAAATGAGAGTTAGCAAGTTTTGTTTTTTGGGGTTTTTTTTTTGTTTTTTGGGGGTTTTTCTTTTCTTTTTCTTGGAGCCTATAACTTTTTGCTTATTTTGTTTTAATGAGTAGTTTGGGAGTTCTGTTGAAGTAGTTGGAATATTTGAGGTGAGCCAGAATGCACTGGGAGTAGAAGAATAAGAGTTGATGGCAGGATAAAAGTAATAAAGAGAGCTCTGCTCTCAGCCTTCAGTGCTATCAAGGTAACTTGTGGTGTGAAGTCTACATGGGCAGGTTAACCAAAATAGTCTCCTTGATCAAGGAAATAGCTTTGTTGCTGAAAACATTTCTCTACGTTATTTTCAGTTATAACAAGATTATGCTAGTAAGATCATCTACAGCTGATCTACTGATTTGTAGATCCATCTTCTTATAGATGAAATAATTACTATTTTTTAGTTATTCCAGAAAACAATTTTTATATTTCACACAAAGGTAATAAGACTACCACCTGCCAAAAATATTAATAGGAGTCAATATCAAAAGACTTATTTGACTGTTGTTTCTTTTAACTGAACAAACTTGACTAGCATCAAAGGTTAGGATTAAATGAGGTTTCAACCACAGAAAGCTTTTAACATATTTTAGCTATCTAATATACACAAAAATTAAATTTCCTGGGCTTCACTGCTGGCGCAGTGGTTGAGAGTCTGCCTGCCGATACAGGGGACACGGGTTTGTGCCCTGGTCCGGGAGGATCCCCCATGCTGTAGAGTGGCTAGGCCCGTGAGCCATGGCCACTGAGCCTGCACGTCCAGAGCCTGTGCTCCACAACGGGAAAGGCCACAACAGTGAGAGGCCCGCGTACCGCAAAAAAAAAAATTAGATTTCCTGAAGATTATTATATCAGAAAAAGAGACTAGGAAGTGGGTAATTACTACTCCTTCTCATATAATTAGTGTAGCCAGCCTGCCCTAGTTTTAACATTTGCTCTTACTTTTGAATAGGGTTAACATTTTCATTTACTTAATTTCCTACTCCCTTTCAATATTTTGGATAGTTCTCCATATTTTCTTAATGCAAATTAAAACTTAAGGCTTTATCAGACACTATTATTAGGATGTGATTGATGTATCATTTAAATTTTAAAACACAAAATCAGGATTTTTAAAACTATTGAAATGTCAGCATTGGACAGACTATAGTTTTGCTCCCATTTATTTAATGTAAGAATAAACTCGGAATAAACTGCTGACAGCAAAAAAATAATGTTATTAAATGGAAAACTGAAAAGGAATGAGACTCATTAATTTCATTTAGGCATTACAAAGAGGTTTCAGCAATATAAAGTTATTGTACATCACATCAGTTTATGGCTGTAATATCTAAAATACCGAGGCCTGGTGAGATAGCTCTGTAATAGCACTTTTATCCTTAACACAAAGTGCTCAGTTATTGTTCAGACAGTGATTTCAACTTCAAACTAAGTTAGATTAGAAGCTTTTGTGTTAATGGAAGGCTGATGCAAATCTTTAAAAGTTTCTCATTTATGATACAGGATAAAATTACATCCAGGAGGTCTTTTGATTTCTTTGTTACAAGTCCTGAGGAAATTTAACTCAGGCATGTCTTTTGTGGGGGTGTGAGCGGGGGGGATTGCTTGGGTTTTTTGTTGTTTAAGCTATGGTTGGAGATGTGTGTCTTGTATGAGAGCAAATAATGTTCAGTTGTAGAACTTAAAGCGACCTTATATAATCATTTAAAATATAAATCATGTCTGTTTTCTAAATTCTAAAGCAGTTAGAGAAACTATATTTTTCCTAGTTCTAAAAGATTTAAGATTCATTTATTAAAGACTAACAGGCAAATAGAGTAATATTTTATTCAAAATTTTACCACTTTTTGTCACTTTATCAGAGTAAATTTGGAATCATTTTAACCTTATATTTAGACAGTAATTTTGTTAGTATAGGTTTGTATACAGTAGAAATGGTATGTGTAGGTTTCCGCTAAACTGAAGGAGTTTATTTTTTAACTGTATTTTACTTTTTCTAACCAATTTTTTTAACTCAAAATTGTTTAACTGTCAAGTTTTTTTAAGCCTGAAATCCATACAGATTATATATTTATGGAAATATTATTCAAAAGGAATCATAACAACTGGAATTCTTCCAAGTTTTAGCATAAAACCCTCTTTGGGTAAAACAAAATATTTACAGTACATAAAGATCCTTTATTCAGTCTGTAGATTAATAGTGATTAATTTAAATCATTAGTACTCAGTGAATAGTACAAATTGAACAAATTATTAGAATAGAATTCAAAATCAGCGAGGAGTTCATACTGAGTAGTTTTCAGTCTATCCCTTAATTCACAAGACCTCTTATTCATCAACTAATTAGATTTAACATTTTTCCATTGTGGGTGTTGAAGCCATTGGCCAAGTTAAATGAAAACAAGTCCCTTGTTGGATGCTCCCACAAAAGTAAGGCCATAGGTAGATTGTAAAGATTCAGAATGCAAGATGATGTCATTTAATGGAATGGGCCGTTTATTCTGAAACGGAGCTCTTCATAATTGAAATTTAGAGCATAGCAGGCCTAGGGGTTTTCCTTCCCCTGCTAGTCCCCCAATAGAAGCATTCTGTCAGCTGTATGCTAACGAGATGAACAATTAAACAAGGTCCTATCTGGCTGGCCTCACAGGCTCTGAGCTCAGACAAAGAACTGTTTATACACCTGTTACGTGTGTGGACAGAGCCATTTGAATGGGTAACTTCAGATTAAAGGAAGGACATGGGAGCCAGGGTGAGCAAGGGTTAAAGAAAACTATAAGAACTGTGAACATCAAATTCTCCAGAAAATATATGAGGGCCATTTGCAAAGGGAATCAAGTTACAAAGAAAAAGTTCCTGCTAACTTCATTAACATGAAAAACTCCAGACTTGAAACTTTTTGCTAGTCTGATGCCATTTTTAAAAGGCTTAATTTTGTTCAAGGTTGGTGTGAGAAAATACTTAGTTTGTAGTATTCTATAAAGACAAAGATATTCACTGACATTTTATATCGCAAAACAAATTGAGCAACCTTTCTGATTTTCCTTCAGGGAAAAGCAAAATCCTTAAGATCTATTGTTTAGATAATGATCCTTTGTCTGCCAAGCCTTTCATCAGAAAAGGTGATAGAACATTTTTATTAGTCGAGATTCAGAAAAATCAAAGAATTATTTATACTCATGAAATAAAAGAATAAGAATTTCACAGATGCATCATCACTTATCAATCAAATGAGTGAAATTCAGTTTGTTACTGTTCAACAGTATTATCTGACAGAGCTATAAAATGGGTTTCAGAGGTACAATATATAGTAAATAAACGTATGTTTAAAAGTTTAAATTTTAGGGCTTCCCTGGTGGTGCAGTGGTTAAGAACCTGCCTGCCAATGCAGGGGACACAGGTTCGAGCCCTGGCCCAGGAGGATCCCACATGCCACGGAACAAATAAGCCCGTGTGCCACAACTACTGAGCCTGCGCTCTAGAGCCCGCAATCCACAACTACTGAGCCCACGTGCCACAGCTACTGAAGCCTACGTGCCTAGAGCCCGTGCTCCACAGCAAGAGAAGCCACGACAATAAGAAGCCCGCACACCGCAACAAAGAGTAGCTCCCGCTCACCCCAACTAGAGAAAGCCCGCACACAGCAACGAAGACCCAAAGCAGCCAATAAATAAATAAATAAATTTTATTTTTTTAAAAAAAAAAAAGTTTAAATTTTAAAAGGCTATTTATTTTTCATTTACTTGGTGTGATAGCTCAAAATACTAGATAAGAGCAAAATTGGCATAAACATCGTGGGAAGTTTTAGTCCACATTATAAACACAGACATAAAAATCTTAGCTTTGGGGCTTCCCTGGTGGCGCAGTGGTTGAGAATCTGCCTGTTAATGCAGGGGACACGGGTTCGAGCCCTGGTCTGGGAGGATCCCACATGCCGCGGAGTAACTAGGCCCGTGAGCCACAACTACTGAGCCTGTGCGTCTGGAGCCTGTGCTCCGCGAAAAGAGAGGCCGCGATAGTGAGAGGCCTGCGCACCGCGATGAAGAGTGGCCCCCGCTTGCCACAACTAGAGAAAGCCCTCGCACAGAAACGAAGACCCAACACAGCAAAAATAAATTAATAAACTCCTACCCCCAACATCTTCTTACAAAAAAGAAAAAAAACTCTTAGCTTTTACTTTATCCTGCAGTGATTTCCTCAGCCAGTCAAAATTATTCTAGTAATATATTATCTTTAAAATAGGCCTAGACTCCTAAGGTCCCAAAGAATTTGTAACTATTTGTTGTATTTTACCCTATCTATTTTTATAAAATGCAATTTTTGAACTGACCTTCCTCTCAGATCATTAGATCATTGAGTAGTTCATAGCTAGCAAGAAAGCACCCTATGTGTTATGAATAAACATGACCAGGATTCCCTAGAGATAGGATATCATAAACTATTTTAAAAACAATTTCCTCTCTCGGGCTTCCCTGGTGGTGCAGTGGTTGAGAGTCCACCTGCCGATGCAGGGGACACGGGTTCGTGCCCCGGTCCGGGAAGATCCCACATGCCGCGGAGCGGCTGGGCACGTGAGCCATGGCCGCTGAGCCTGCGCGTCCGGAGCCTGTGCTCCGCAACGGGAGAGGCCACAACAGTGAGAGGCCCACATACTGCAAAAAATAAAAAAATAATAATAATAATAATTTCCTCTCTCGGGCTTCCCTGGTGGCGCAGTGGTTGAGAGTCCGCCTGCCGATGCAGAGGACATGGGTTCGTGTCCCGGTCTGGGAAGATCCCACATGCCACAGAGTGGCTGGGCCCGTGAGCCATGGCCGCTGAGCCTGCGCGTCCGGAGCCTGTGCTCCGCAACGGGAGAGGCCACAGCAGTGAGAGGCCCGCGTACCGCAAAAAAATAAAATAATTTCCTCTCTCGAATGTAATTTTCATAGTCCACTTCTTCACTTGGTGTTAGATTCAGTTCTTCAGATTTTTCTCAAGATTTTTTACTGGGGGCGGGTTGCGGTTCAGGGCAGAAGTAAAGGTTAAGGGTCTAAGGGAAAATTTCCAAAATGGTAATGGAATAGAAGGCTGTCTTGATTTCTGTGGTCCCTTCCCAGCTTTAAGATTTTATGATTCTAATGCATGATGAAATTGTGTGGTTTAGAAAAAGGGTATGGTCAATGCTTGATCATCCAGGGGAGTAGTGACACAGCTAATTCTCAGCAATGACTAATCCTCAGATAATTTAAAAAGTAGCTATGGAATACATTGAATGGGTTTTTCAAAACTACATTAAAGATAAGAATAAAGGTAGAGGTCAGACATTTCTTAAAAAGTTGGGTGGAAGACCTGGTATGTTCTAATCAGATCCACTACCAATAGCCTGCATTGCCTGAAACTTTGCTTTGGTTTCTTTTGTTTGGCTCACAGGAAACCAAAGGATAAACTTGCATAGGGATATTTATACCTCTTAGGGTAAAATCCATACAAAGTCATGAAAGATAAAAGCTATATTAATTACTCAAGAGGGATTCAAAGCATGGCATTTTACTGGGATTGAAGGATTTGTTGAAAAACAGTGGTTCTCATGTATAACTCCAGGCAATAAACCTATTTAATTAAAGGATTAATCTTCTAATTGCCACATCTGCTGTTGTTCTAATAAAAAAAAAAAAACTGGTTCATTTGTAACCAGTTTTTCTAAAAATACTGCAGTAGCTAAAAACACTTGGTAGTGTTTGCATGCCTTCTCAGTTCAAGTTAACTGTGATTTGTCTAAATCTGATTAAAACTGAGAATAAAAATGTATGGCATTTTTGTTGCCTGGCAATGTAGAACTTTTATTTTAAGTTATTTTAATTTTGTATTGCTTTTGCTGCTCTTAAAATTTTTGAGGAGAAGCAATTAGAGGAAGAAAAAACAAGACACTGTGTGTAAGAAAAGGATATGCTAAAGTATAGATAAATAATATTACTTGGAACAAAGCAGTATTTTGCTAAATGCAAATTCATGGATACTTTAACATTTTTAGGTAGTATATGGAATAGGTTTTTAGATTGATTGATACACAATAGAGGCTATAATATGTAGTGCTGTATGGATTATAGAGTGCTTTTTGTCTATTAGCTCATTTGCTTCTCACAGCAACCCTCTGTGGGATATAAAATTTGAAAGCTGGAATTTTTTTAAATATTTTTATTCAGAAACAGTACTACTGTCGAGTCTTTTACAATCCAAAAACCAGAAAAGTGGCATCCAAAAAATGTTGCTAAATTTAGATGCGTGATAGCTGTTTTCTCTATTAAACCCAGTGAAAGAATTTGAACAATTACTGCACCATGAACATTTTTATTTATTTTTTTTAACTTTAGGTCGGAACTCATCGAGAAGACTCTGTCAGTCTCAATGGCAATCATTCAGTCCTGTCTAGTACGGTCACTGCTTCAAGCACAGACTTGAACCATAAAACACAAGAAAATTACAGAGGTAACTATATAATTCATTTACAGCAGTAGTGCATACAGAGGTATCATTTTGGAGTACTGTCACCTTCTTCACAGTCAGATTGACATCTGTGAATCAAAAGTCATCTTAAGGGCTTCCCTGGTGGCGCAGTGGTTGGGGTCCGCCTGCCGATGCGGGGGACGCGGGTTCGTGCCCCGGTCTGGGAGGATCCCACGTGCCGCGGAGCGGCTGGGCCCGTGGGCCATGGCCCCTGAGCCTGCGCATCCGGAGCCTGTGCTCCGCGGCGGGAGAGGCCACAACAGTGAGAGGCCCACGTACAGAAAAAAAAAAAAAAAGTCATCTTAGGTGGTAGAATTCCAAATAGTAGTAGTACTACTGCGTGAATATACAGGGTCAATATTTAGGGTTCCAATTGGTCCATTTAGCTGGGCCAATTACAGATATTTATTGATGTATGGAACCCTGTGCAAACCGTTGTTCAGTGTTTACTGGTCATCTTCTTACCAGCTCCTGCATCTGTCCTCTTTCTTTTTTTTTTTTTTTTTTTTCTTTTTTGGCTGCACCGTGTGACATGTGGGATCTTAGTTCCCTGACCAGGGATTGAACCCGCACCCCCTTCAGTAGAAGTGCAGAGTCTTAACCACTGGACTGCCAGGGAAGTCCCTGTCCTGTCTCTTTCTAAATCACTTCCCCTCGTGGCTGAGTCTTCATTGTCCCTAGAGGAATTGAGAAAGACATTTCTGAGTATGTTTAGAGCTCTGAGTGATAGTAGCTGTTGTTTAGAAGATTATAATTTAATTGGGGAGACAGACAATTCTTATAAAAAGCAAATTGTTGTCAATGTTATAACAGACCTTATAAATAAGTACAAATATATAGGTGGTATTAAGACCACCAAGATAAAGTTTTCCCAGTTGTATTTAACCATGATGCCTGTTTTATTGTGTTTGTCCAGGAAAATGTTAAAGCTTATTTCGTTTAACTTGACAGCATCTTAGAAGTTTTTAAAATGCATCATGTTTCTCCTACCTTGTTTGATTGTTAAATGTGCCTGAAAATGAGCATTGGACTCACCATCAGGGTCAGGCTTGTTTTTTTTTAAATACAGGTGCTTTAAAAAGCAATTTTTTCTAAGGTTTGTGGACGTGCTTTTTCCAGCTCTGAATAGTTTACTTTTTTACATCTTCAGATTTCTATAGTAGCTCTATAACAACTAAGGATATTTACCATCAAGAAAGCTTTTTACTGTCTTAATTCTAATTCATAAATGAGTCTGGACATTTATTCTGTTTCTTTGCCTCTTTGTTAGGTGGCTTGCAAAGTCAGTCTGGAACGGTTGTTCCAACAGAAATCAAGACTGAAAACAAAGAGAAAGATGAAAACCTTCATGAACCTCCTTCATCAGATGACATGAAATCAGATGATGAATCCTCCCAAAAAGATATCAAAGTTTCATCTAGAGGCAGAACAAGGTATTTGTTAGCATCCAGGTGTTAAATTTCACTCATTTGCCATGGGTGAAGATACTTGGAAAATTGAAGTGTATCATGCATTTAAGTGTCAGCTGTGTTCTAGATACTGTGTTGGGACTTTTATGTGTTGTCTCATTTAATCCTCATAGCATCCATAAAAGGGAGGTGTATGAAGCTGACTCTAAGTTTATGTTTTCCATGTTTCCCACAATATTTTAGGGTCTACATATAAAAAAGAATTACTTCTCTCCCATCAATGCTTATAGTCTGTAAGACAGCTAGAGAACAAAATAGCTAAAACAAGTTAAATTGTACAAGTGTAGGTATTTAGATATAACCCATCAGTAAATATTCAAATACATTATTTTAAGGCTAAGTATATGGTAAGACTCTTGTATGATTTAAACCAGGGGCTGGCAAGCTATGGCCCATGGGCCATATCTAGTTCATTGCCTGTTTTTATAAATAAAGTTTTTTTGGAACACCACTACACCCCATTCATCTACATATTGTCTGTGGCTGCTCTCACAGTGCAGTGGCAGATTTGTGTAGTTGCAACGTAGGTTGGATGACCCACAAAGCCGAAAATACTTACTTTCTGGCTCTTTATAGAAGATATTTGCAACTTACGTTTTAAACAATACTTTGAAAAGAGTATGGAAAAGGAAGTACTCCACATGCGTTGATGTTGTCGGGGAAGGTTTTCTAGAAACTGGACTTGACTTTGCTTTGAAATATGGATATTGACACATAATACATTAGTTTCAAATTATTTCCAGATTCTTCCATCAGATTTTTCTTCTAGTTCTACATTAAAAGTAGGTAATTTGATATATTCGTGGTACATCCTATTTCTTGGTATATATCCATTTATCAGTAGTATGTATATATCACGTATAGATATTTATATTTAAAACATTGTTCTTTGTATTAAATTATGGTACAAAGGAAATTACAAACTAAAAGAACCAGGATAGTCCTTTCTGTCAGTCTCATACTTAAAAGTTGTCCTTTTGCATTTGACATTCTCACTATTTTCAGTAGTTGACATTTCTCTTGAGGAAAATTAAATCTTAAGGTCCTAATACTATCATTTTAATATGCATTGTACTCAGTTGTGCAAGGGCATGAAGAAATAAAAATTGAGTCAGGGAATCCAGAGTCCACTCCTTTGAGGAATCTTAATTCTTTCATAGTTTCATTATTCAAATAGAACTTTAAGGGAAATAATTTGCATCTCTCCTCATCATTCATCCTTTCATTATATAGGTCAGCAAACTTCGTGTGTAAAGGGCCAGATAGTAAATATTTTAGTCTTTGTGGGTCATACAGTCTCTGTTGCAACTGTTGAACATTGCCACTGCATCATGAAAGCAGCCAAAGACAGTACATAAACAGGTGGGTGTGGCTCTTCCAATAAAATTTTATTTACAAAAACAGGTAGCTGGCTTATGGGCCAGTTTGCTGAGCACTGTTATAGGTCATCAGAAATTGAGAAGGCAGTATAATGGGTTAATAATAACAATACTTAGTAGTTAATAATAGTAAATTTAAAACACAGCCTTTGGACAAAATAAGGCTAACCTTGGTTTGAATCATGGCTTCATCACATTTTGCCAAGTAACCTTGGCAAGTTATTAAACTCTCTGAGGTTTGGTTCTGTCTTAACAGGAGACTTTCTGTTTAGGATTCTTGTGGGAATAAACTGAAAATTATGCATATAAAGCCCTTTTCACACTGTCTCACATGCAGTAAACATCAGTAAAGGTACTGTGGTAACTTATGTTGATAATAATTTTAGATATGTGCTCTTGATTTCTTCCATGAAGCACTAACCTGGATTCTTGTCACTACCCTGCCACTCATTAGCCTTGTAATCCTAGGGAGGTTACTGATCTTACAGTGGTTCTCAACCCTGCTGCACAGACTCCTGAAACATTTTAGAAATACAGGTGCCTGGCCCCTGAACCCGAGCTCCCTGTATCAGCATCTCTGGCAGTGGGACCTTTGAAAGCTATATTTTATAAGTGCTCTTGAAGATTCTAGTGAGTGGCCACCTTTGGAAACCTTTGGGCTAGATGATCTGTAAAGGTTTCTTTGAAGTCAAAGAGCTAGTGATTCTCTATTATCAAAAGAATACTTTTATGAAATTCTTGACAATTGGCTAGTAAAAATCTGTTGTCCACTTGTGGTTTTTTTAAGATTTATTATTTATTTATTTTATTTATTTTGGGGTGCATCCTGTCTTAGTTGCGGCATGCGGGATCTTTTGTTGCAGCACACGGGCATCTGTCTACTCGTGGTGTGCGGGTTTTCTCTCTCTAGTTGTGGTCAGAGCAGGCTTCAGAGCGTGTGGGCTCTGTAGTTGTGGCGTGTGGGCTTAGTTGCCCTGTGGCATGTGGGAATCTTAGTTCCCTCACCAGGGATCGAACCCACATCCCTTGCATTGAAAGGCGGATTCTTTACCACTGGACAGGGAAGTCCCTCTACTTGTTTTTTTTTTTTTTTCTTTGTTTGTTTGTTTTGCGGTACGCGGGCCTCTCACTGTTGTGGGCTCTCCCGGTGCGGAGCACAGCCTCCGGAAGCGCAGGCTCAGCGGCCATGGCTCACGGGCCTAGCCACTCCGCAACATGTGGGATCTTCCCGAACCGGGGCACGAACCCGTGTCCCCTGCATCGGCAGGCGGACTCTCAACCACTGCGCCACCAGGGAAGCCCGCTCTACTTGTTCTTTATTAGAGTACTCAAGGTATTAGAGGTGAAGCACCAATTCTTTGTGTACATTTTTTTCCAGGTTCTAAGAGGCCCTGCTCAGTAATTTATTTCTGAAATATAAATAGAATTTTCTAGAAGTTATTCCAAAGCATTTTTCTCAGATATTCTTTTCTGATTAATTAGTCTGTTTTCATTACAGAAATTTGAAAATTACAGAAAAGCACACACAAAAATCACAAGAAACTCCGCTACCCAGAATTAACTACAGTTTACTTTTCAAGGAATATCTTTTCCCATAAATACAGTTTAAATTGGAGATAAACTGGATAAAAGTTTTATAATTTCAACTTTTTTTAGTTTAACAGTGTGTTTTAAACCTTTTCATCTATCTGTGTTTTCTCCAACATGTTTTTTTCTTGTTGTTTCTGTTTTTAGGCAGCTTTATTGAGGTTTAATTCAAATATAATAAAATACACCAATTTTAAGTGTACAGTTTTGGTCCTTTGACATATGTATACAGTTATATACATTAATAATGTAGAATATTTCTGCCACCCTAAAAAGTTTCCTCATGCCAATTTATAACCAGTCCTCTTCTCCCATCTTCTGGCAAACGTTGATCTGCTTTCTGTTACCATACTTTTGTCTTTTCTAGAAGTTCCTGTAAATGGGATCATACAATATGTAGTCTTTTGTGTTTGGCATCTTTTACCTAGCATAATCTACAGCTTGATTTTTAGAGGGTACATAGTAGACCATTATCTGGATGTACTGTGATTTATTTAACCCATCTCCTAATATTGGACTCCCATTTGTTCTGAAGTAAATAATTCTGTGATCAACTTCTTTACCTAAATTTCTATGAACATCTCTAATTATATCCTTTGGATGAATTTCTAAAGTTGGAATTGCTGATCAAGAGATGATGAACATTTTAAGGCTTTGGGTTCATTTTGAACAACCTTCAAAAAAGTTGTTCCAGTTCACCCGTGTTTTAAAATCACCACTGATGATGATATTTCTTCCAGAACAAAAAGTATAGTCATTTTCTGAGATACTTCTCTCATTCCACATCTTAAGCTTTTCTTCCCCCTCCTCACCAGGGGACTGCCAGAATATATTTAAGAACATAAGCAAACTGTAATACATTACTATAATAGTACAGTGTTTCTCAAACCTTAATGTACATATGAATCTTGTTAAAATGCAGCTTCTGATTCAGTAGGTTTGTAGCAGAACCTGAGATTCTGTTTCTAACGGTAATGTAACACTGTTTTTACAGTAATGTAAAAAGTAAAGTTTTTAAGCAGTAATGCTGATGCTGCTGATCACATCTAGAAGAGCAGGGTGCTACAATATGTGGTCATTCAAATTATGTTTATGAAGAGTTTCACTAGTAGTGTGGAGAAGTCTTTATGCTGTAATGTGCAATGAAAATGCATTCAGAAATGTACGTGGGGGACTTCCCTGGTGGCGCAGTGGTTAAGAATCTGCCTGCCAATGCAGAGGACATGGGTTCAAGCCCTGGTCCGGGAAGATCCCACATGCAGCAGAGCAGCTAAGCCCGTGTGCCACAACTACTGAGCCTGCACTCTAGAGCCCACGAGCCACAACTACTGAGCCCGTGTGCCACAACTACTGAAGCCCACACACCTAGAGCCCATGCTCCACAACAAGAGAAGCCACGACAATGAGAAGCCTGCACACCGCAACGAAGAGTAGCCCCCACTTGCCGCAACTAGAGAAAGCCCGCGCGCAGCAATGAAGACCCAACACAGCCAAAAATAAATAAATAAATTTATTTTTTTTAAATGTATGTGGTATAATTTCAACTATATATATTTGCATTGAGGAAGGACTGGAAAGAAATATACAATAATGTTAAGTGTAGCTATTACTACCATTTGGTAAAATTTATAGGTCATTTTTATTTTTATAATTTTTAATTTTGTACAATAAGCATATCTTACTTTACAGCGAACCTAATAGACATTGTTGTTACTTTGCCTTCCAGCAGTACTAATGAAGATGAGGATTTGAACCCAGAACAGAAGATAGAAAGGGAGAAGGAAAGGCGGATGGCCAACAATGCCAGAGAACGCTTGCGTGTGCGCGATATTAATGAGGCATTCAAAGAGCTTGGTCGAATGTGTCAGCTTCATTTAAAGAGTGAAAAACCCCAGACAAAACTCCTCATTCTTCATCAGGCCGTGGCAGTCATCCTTAGTCTAGAACAGCAAGTCAGAGGTAAGTAGGTTCAGCAGAGATATGTAACTGTTCTGCTTCCAGTGAGTAGACATTTCTGTGTCCACTTGCTTTTCTGCTTGGTCAGGTTGTTTGTAGGTGCTCCTAGTACTTCTGCTACCACATCATCCGTATCAGGTTTTTCTCTATTATTCTCTCGCCTCTGTCTCATTATATAGGTCAATATCTGTAGGCTCAGTGCTTCCCAGAAACCAGTAGAGAGTAACCCTATGAAACAATGCAGTGAACAGCCAGCCTCCTGCTCAGCATTAGTGCTTTGTGCCTCTCGTTGACTCTGGTCTCCCACACTCTTGTATTTACCTGCCTACACCTGTCCTCCAACCTGCTCCTTCCTGTCTTCCCTACTTCTCCGTAGTCAGTTTCTTGCCTGCTTTACCCGGGGCATCTGTGAGGCCCTGATGGTTAACAGAATGCCTGGTCATGGCCCCTCCTGGCTTTGCCCCCTATGAATGTTGTTTATACCCATGTCAATAAGGTGTCAGAGTTTCTTTGTTGATTCCTGATAAGGAATGCCATGAGGTTCTTGGGTTAATATGCACTGGCATGCCTGTGTGTCCCTAAGGACAAAAGTGTGGTTCATACAGACTTATCCACTGCTGACTGAGACAGCTCTCCCAACTGTTTTATTTTGATGGAATTTTTTTTTTTTTTTTTTTTTTTTGGCCACACAGTGCAGGTTGTGAGATCTCAGTTCCCCAGCCAGCGATTGAACCTGGGCCATGGCAGTGAAAGCCTGGAACCCTAACCATTAGGCCGCCAGGGAACTCCCTTGATGGAACCTTGAAGAAGCTTTGAAACTTCATTTTTTGAACAAAGTGTTTATTGTACACCTCCTCTGTCCCAGTCAGCTATGTTCTAGACCCTGGATTATCAACTAATACAGGCTTCTAGCCTTTGAGAGGTTCTATCATCAAGCTTGCTTTTTTGAATATACTTATATATCTTCTTATTCAAAGTTACGAATGCCTCATCCTAAGCCTTTTTGCAAAGAATTTATAGATGTGGCCTTTGATTCCAGACCCCATCTCTAACCTCCCTTCATTGAGAGCAACTTTGTCTTCCTTATTTATTGGGTATTTATATAATATTTTATTTAAAGAAAGTTGGAAAAGAAAAAAAGAGTATGAGTGGACAGATGCTTGACAACTGCGACAAGGACCCTTGGCACTGATCATAGAAGGAATACTGTTTCTAAGGAAACCAGAGTTAGAGAACTTGAACACATTTTCAGAAAAACATAACACTAGTAATTAATTCATCTATTCATTTCCCTCCAGTGTTTTTAATGAATAAAAATGATGAATAGATAAAACACTTACCACTAAAACCAGATACTGCTCCTGCTGTCTTAAAGCCCTTGAAGTACCTGTAAAGCGTAAATGTTAATGAAACCTGATCAAGAAGTTACAGACTTGGGACTTCCCTGGCAGTCTAGTGGTTAAGACTCGGCGCTTCCACTGCCGATGGCACAGGTTCGATCCCTGATCAGGGAACTAAGATCCTGCATGCCATGTGGCGTGGCCAAAAAAAAATTTTTAATAATAATAAAATATATTTTTTAAAAAAGTTATAGACTCCCTTGTGATATTCATAAAGACAGTCTGATAGTTGCCACTCATCTGTGGCAGGAGCATTTGTCCCTTGAGCTTTCACTATCTCCTGTCACTTTACGAAATGTTTTTGTTCAATTATGTCTGACATTCAGTGGCCAAGTATATTCATCCTGCTCCTCAGCAGCCCAATATATTTTCTACCCTGACGCTACCAAGCCTTTTGTTGTCAAGACTGTTGCCTCCATCAGCACTGTGAAAGTTTTACTGTCGGGACAACAGTGGTGCCAGAACTTACTCTTGTACAGCACCTTTCCTTCCCACGGTTCATTAGAGCTAGAATAAAGTCATTTGTGTTCTTAAAAATCTTTTTTTTAAAATCAGAGGTCCTACTCTCAGATCCAAGCCATCAAAAATGAGAAATACCTCTGTTTGAAAAAAAAGTTATAAACTCCATCATGCCTGGGTGGATCGTATTCATTCATTTGTAAGATTTCATTTTGTCATGATTCCATGCAAGCACCTAGAATAGAAAAGCTGAGTCTGAAAGAGGATCTAACATCTAGGCTTATCCAGCTGCCTACTAACTTTCTGATCATTGTTATGGGTACTGACTTTTTCACACTATTCTGGAAAGCTCTATATAAGGAGCCATTGACTGATCAGAATGAACAAAACTTAAATACACTGAACTGTAACTTCATTAGGGACTGCTTTAATATTCATAAAAGCCTGCCTTCTTCGCACCCTCAAACTCTGGGCTTCAAAGCCCAGAGCCTTTATTTTACAGCTTAATGTAAAAGCCGTGGGGTCCATGTAAGACTCCTTGAAAGGCTGGCTATCTAACAGAGTTTCGAACCCTTCGTGTAGCCCATAATACCTGTGCCTTGTCTATAGCAGCACCTTCAGAGTTTGGTATAACCGCTCTCCTTCCCTGCACTTGATCTCCAGTAGTTTTTGAGTTATTTTGGTAACCTTTGAAAGCCTCTTCATCCCTGCAGGGGCCCTACGCAGCAGCCCCTGGGCCCAACAATTTCTATAAAGACATACATTTTGTTTACATGACCTACTTTGGACATCCTCTGGGCTCTCTGGCCACCCCCTTTGGTTTGGGGTAGTGTTCCAAGACCATGTCTAGCTGTCCACAACCTGTCATCCCTAGACAAGTGGATATACCAGGAGGGCAACCAGACCTGGGTCTAGCAGTGAGTCCTTGAGAAAAGCAAGAAGTGGCTTCCCTTCCAAGCCTCAGATTTTGCCAGAGCATTTTTGTGCCTTGGTGCTCCACATATCAAATCCCATATGGCCTCTGTCATTGCCAATTTAAGCCTTTCTATTATCGTAACTGTAATTTTACCATTACAGTTTTACTAATCCTCAGCAGATTTCACATATTATCTTCAAGTTTGTCCTCTCAGCTTTACTAAAGATTAAGTTAGTGATCAAACACTTCCTCCTCAAACTCTTTTCACAGGTCAGTTCGATAAACTCATTTGTCTTCTGGTGAATTTAATTTAGGGACAATAGAACTATTAGGATTTTAGTTTACTGGTCTCTTAGTTAGTTCAAAGATAAATAAGCTAGGACAGCGGTTCTCAAATCTGGCTGGTCTCAGAATCACCTGAGGCTTTTCCTTTTCCCAAACAAATTTCCAGACCCTACCCTCAGTACATTTAATTCAGTTGCAATGAGATGGTCAAACATAGTCTTAGCATATTCATTGATAATACACCACTCCTTCCTAAATCTCCACTGAAATGAATAAAAATGGCATTAACCCACAAGGATAGAGGGGAGAGAAGATAATAACAAACAAGAGAGCAAAAGTAGATAGAGAAGTGGTAACTGACTTACTTAGACAGCAGAAATTAAATGGAACAGAGAGGAATACCAGCAAGAAGCAGAACATTTGCCTTACAGGGCCCCTATCCCCTGAAAGCCTCTGGACTTTGGAGGTACTAACTATTGGAAAAAGCAGAAGTCAGGCATCAGACCTGAAAACAGAAAGATTCATTGGAGGTTTGCTATGGAAAGTTGGATCCCTAAGTCTCCTCTGTACTTCATATTGCTTCTGCCCTCTTTTCCCTTCGACCATAGAAGCCAGGAGGATTATTTTTAGCAAAAAGTGAAATCTGAAAGGCTGCAAATCTGAAACACCAAGAGGAGCAGAGAATGAGTGAAGTATGAAGCTGAACAGTGAGACCTGCAGCCCTGTGTCCTGCTTTGTTTTCCTAATGCTGGCAACAAAGTATATTAATTCTATCCTCAAGGAAATGGGATAATTCTTTTCTAAAGAAATTAAAATACTCTAGAGAAAAGACCTCCAGATTTAGGAATTCCTGAGTAATAATTTCTCACTTTTGGATTACCATAGAGTAATAAAGCCCACCAGTTGATGTCTTACTTCTAATATTAAAGGACAGCCAAAGATTTAAGAAAAACCACCATGAAAAAGAGAAATTGAGATCAAACCAAACAAAAAAGAAAGAAGAAAACAGAGACATGCAAAAAGCATTGGGAAACTTTTTTTTTAAATAAAATTAATGCCTTCTTTTTTTTTTTTTTTTTTTTTTTTTACTGGTATGCGGGCCTCTCATTGTCGTGGCCTCTCCCGTTGCGGAGCACAGGCTCCGGACGCGCAGGCTCAGCGGCCATGGCTCACGGGCCCAGCCGCTCCGTGGCATTTGAGATCCTCCCGGACCGGGGCACGAACCCGCATCCACTGCATCGGCAGGCGGACTCTCAAACACTGCGCCACGAGGGAAGCCCAATTAATGCCTTCTAATAAGAGAAAATGTATGCATAAAAGAGAAAGAAGCCATGAAAAAGAAATTCAGATGATATGATAGAAAAAATATAGTAGAGGTTAGCTGATAAAACTGAGAAAAGTCTCCTAGAAAGAGATGAAAAATAGGAGAGAAGAACTAAAATTAGGGGGGATCAATCTAGAAGTCCAACATCTGACCAATAGGTTTAGTAGAGTAAGAGCAGAAGAGAGCAAAGGGGATTATCATGGCAATAATACAGGAAATTTACCAGTGCTAAAGAGTACATGTCTCAAGATTGGTAAACTCTAATCTTGTGTTAAGAATAATGATTTTAGGACTTCCCTGGTGGTGCAGTGGTTAAGAATCCGCCTGCCAATGCAGGGGACACAGGTTCGAGCCCTGGTCCAGGAAGATCCCACATGCCGCGGAGCAACTAAGCCCGTGTGCCACAACTACTGAGCCTGCACTCTAGAGCCCACAAGCCACAACTACTGAGCCCACGTGCCACAACTACTGAAGCCCACATGCCTAGAGCCTTGTGCTCCACAACAAGAGAAGCCACTGCAATGAGAAGCCAGCACACCGCAACAAAGAGTAGCCCCCGCTCAATGCAACTAGAATAAGCCCGCGCACAGCAATGAAGACCCAATGCAGCCAAAAAATTAATTAATTAATTTTTTTTAAAGAATAATGATTTTAATAATTACTTCAAGTTGAAGTGTATCATCATGAAATTTCAGAGCATCCAAGTTAAAAGGAATATCCTAAAGCTTTTAGAAACAAAATTTAAATAGCTCAGAGACAAAGGAACAACATTCAAAATGTCATCAGAGTTCTGAAGAAGTAGTGCTGGATTCCAGGAGACAGTGGAACAATACCTTCAAAATTCTGGGGAAAAATCACTTTCAACCTAGTATCCTATATCTAGCCAGACTATTAATTAAAATGTAAAGATAGGATAAAGATAGTTCAGATATGCAAAGACTTTAAAATTCTACCTCCCATGTACACTTTCTGAGGAAGCATCTGGAACATATGCTTAGGCCAAATGAGGACATAATCAACAAAGACAAAGGCATAGGATTTGGGAAAGAAAGGATCTAACACATGGGAACAGCAAAAGAAAATCCCATAACGAGAACTACTAGGCCTAGAAAAGAACCAGTTTGCATTGAAAATAGAAGACTGTTAGCTGTGGAGGAAAGGTTTACAGGGAAGGAAGGTGGAATTAATAGATAATATGATGATGTGTTTGAGATTTTAGGAAGAAATATTGAGAGAGGCATTTGTTAGATCTATTAGAGCATTTCGGGGGGCGGGGGAATTGTCATTACTAACAAATGAAAAGCAAAGCAACTATTAACTACAGGAAAAACAGTCCTATGAACAAGGAAACAATCAATACAAAATTCTTGACTTGCAAGTATGTCCACATAGATATAATAACAAATATTTACCTAATCATAATATCGAAGAAGTGACTGTTGCATTAGCCAAATATTGTGCTATAAACATGTTAAGAAGATGATATTATAGAGAGGCAAGTCCTCAGCCACATACCAGAGGGTAATAGACCCTTAATAGAAATGTAAGAAAGACAGTTGCTTCTTATGCTCCGCACATAATGTCTGACTTCTTCTTACCTCTGTATGAGGCCTTCCTGGCTACTTAACATGTTTGCCATGGCCTGCTCACACAGACCAGGAAGTATGAAGCAACAGCACTAGCTTTTGCTTTTTTGGATCAAAGCTCACTTACTTCACATTTCGTAGAGCTTACTGTAGTATTCTCTTGGTTCTTCCAGCCCTGAGTGTTGTCTGACTCATTGCAGGAGTCTACAAAATCCTGCCTAACTTGAGTTTTTGGTTCTGGTCCTTTCCAGCTATTCTGATCGTGCCTCCTAGAGCCTTAGTAAGATAAGAGCAATGTTCCATTGTAAGAGAAATGTGAGAATGTTTCAATTAGAAAACGTTGAAATCTTTCTCCTCTTTGGATTTCACATGTTAATTTGTGCCCTCTTTTCAGTCTCTCTGGTCATTGTTTGAGACTATTGCCTACACAGTAAAGGAGATATGACACCTAATGAAAGTCAGACTTCTCTTATTTGTTAGAGGTACACAATTCCTTGTTAAGAAAGCAGCTCCTGCGACTTCCCTGGTGGTCCAGTGGTTAAGACTCCGCACTTCCAGCGCAGGGGGCGCAGGTTTGATCCCTGGCTGGAGAACTAAGATCCCACATGCCACACGTGGTGTAGCCAAAAAAAAATAAAAAATAAAAGCAGCTCCTAATATTTTTACATAATGATGGACATGCCGATTTCTACTACTAGTTATCCTGATAAATTAAGTAAGAGTGTACCTTCCTTTCTTCATTGCCTCCTCAGAGTTGTATAGGCTTCATGTCTTTTCCTAAATGCAGGGACTTTGATGACGAATGTTGTCATCATGTATGAGTAAAAATAGAGTCAGTAAATTTACCATAATAAAGTCTTTTGTCTACTTTTTTTAAACTCAGAAGTGAACTATAAATGTGTTTTGAAATATGCACATTCAAATATGTTTTTACTTTCCCTGAAAAAGAAAATACATTAAAAAAAATGGTCTACTATGTTGCATTCAGCTTGGGCCATCATTTCAAGAAAATCTAACATGTAAAAAAAATTACAACTTATACAAAATATTGTTTTCATTACAGGCTAAGTTTAAGTGGTCTTTTTATATTATATTCATTAACACATTTTTAATCAGTTTATAAAAATAAGTGTAACAACTTTTAACTGATACTGTATGTTATAAACTGAAACAAAAAACTATACCAGGAGCTGTCATGGGTTAGATAGCTTGTACTTAAAACTCATTTAAAGAAGTTATAACAGGAACTGTAGTTCCTAAGTAGATTTTCATTCAGTGGGTTTTAAGTTCAGTGGATTTTCTTTATCTTTATTTCATATGGTAATATCCCACACTTTAAGCTCCTTTGAAAATGCCCACATCAGAAGTTCCATTCAGTCTTCTCTGCTGTCTCATATACAAAGCAGTAAAGGTTTTTATAACCCTCTCAATCACACCCCCAACTGTAGAAAGAACATCTCAATCATCTCGTTCTGCATGTAAATCAAAGGAGAAAAGCAGGATATACTAAGGCTACCTCTCTTCCTGGAGGGGTTGGCACATTTCCTATAGAGGAATGGCTGAGGGTGTCTCTTAGTTTATCATTTTCTGAACTGGTAGAATTCTAGATAAAGCACAGATGTACCTCTCCAGCACATAGAGAATGTCAGCATTCATAACAGTTCAATGTGTCATATCTTCACAGGACACTGAGGGGATTCGGTAGACTAATAACAGCATTTGCCACAGTGTTTGGATGAAGCAGTAAAAGAACTGCTTTAAGATATTGATGTAGATCAAGTTAAACCCTGGAAAACTAAATCATAAGAAGACAACACAAAATGGTCAGAAAGAAGTATAAGTTTTAAGGCTCAGTTAATGCTGAGGTTTTATGTAAGCATATCATTGTTGCCTCTGAGGTTATTCATTATGGGAATGGAATTACACAGAGATTGGTAATCCCCACAGAAAGAAAAAATAACAGCCATTTGTTCAGTTTAAGACCCAGGAGTCCATGATTCATAACTTCTGTCTCTAATGATGAAATTATTTTTTCCCTATTTCAGAGAGGAACCTTAACCCCAAAGCAGCCTGCCTTAAGAGAAGGGAAGAAGAAAAAGTTTCTGCCGTATCGGCAGAGCCACCAACCACACTGCCAGGAACCCATCCTGGGCTTAGTGAAACTACCAACCCTATGGGTCATATGTAAACATCAGCCAGGTAAGTATAAGTATGAAAAGAAAGTACAGGGAAGTCCCCTGATTCATCTTAAACTGAGTTAGAACCTTTGAACAGAATTCTCTGGTAGCACAGGTCATGGTAAAGGTCACGTGTAATTTGGAATCCAACAGCTTACCTTTCTGTTATATAGTTAGAGAGCCCGTGTCATTTTATACCAAATTACTGTTCTTTTCAAAATGTGATACTGTCCTTTGATTCATAAAGAACTTTGGGCTCTCATGTTCTGGATCATCGTGTATACTCCCTCACATGAATATTATTCTGATCCAAGAAGAAAACAGTGCAATGACTCATCTATCAAAACATACTTTTGCTACCACTCATGGTCCTCATTCCTCTACTCAGAAGTACTTGATGGCATCATCAACCAGTATTCTGTTAACCATCTACCTCTTCTCTATCATGACATCTTCATGCACAAAACAGTTATTGCTTGCTTCCATTTGGATCATTAATGGAAGTCTGTAATACGCATGTTCCTTCCCCTGTAAGAATATTAGTTACACCTTGTGGAATCTATTAAAGAATGTAGAGGTATTGTATATGATAGAATCAGAACATCCTTCTCTTGGGAATTTTACTTGTTGAAAGACTGTTCTTTTTATCTTCCTCTTCATGAACTAAACAGTTTGCTTCTTTGTGATTTTTTTTTTTTAAAACAAAGTGACAACAGTAGTAGGAGGTTGTTGCCCAAGTAATTAGAAAACGTGAACCATCTTTTTCTTAACTATATACTTTCATATTATCTATGAGTTGTAAAGTTAATATTTGGGTGACAGAAATTAATACAGACCATAATTAAATATTTGAGTCAGTAACAAAATATAGCTCGCAGTATGGATTAGGAGTAGAACTGGTAACTTCATTTTTATAATCTGCCTTCAGCAGTGTATAGTTCTTTTCCTAGTTTCATCAGCAGAGTAAAAGCAGTAGTAAAAGTAAATGGATGGGAGGTTTGGAGCAGGAAAAAAATACTGAGTGCAATTTCATTTCGTCAGCTTTGTGGCTGTCTCATTTTGAGCTGAAAGTTTGGAGTTTGATAGAATATTTTGTAAACTACAAAGATTAGTCAATAACTCACCTTTTCCTGAAGAAATTGATTTCCTACCACCTCTTCATATATCCTTCTTAGGATCAAACTAGACCAAAACGGAAGATTTCATTTGGGGACAGAGGAGGAAGTATTGATGTAATTATTTAGGTGTCAGTTATAATTCTAACATTAGCACACTGGAAAAAACCCTGTCATCTCTCCCACCAAAAACAAACAAACAAACAAAAAAAACAGCTATAACAGACTGTGCATGTCAAAGGGGCTTTAGGCAAGAGCTAGTTAAATTACAGATCCTCTAAAACCCATGCCATTGCTTCATGTTCTGTGGAAACTATAGAATATCATGAAAAAATATTTTTATTCAAAAATAAATTTTGAAGTCTTTACAATAAATACAGGCAAGTGTTTCTTGGTGCAAAAGTGACTTTCTAAATTGGCAGATTATGTCGAGGTACCTTCCTGTGGTCGGGTATCAGGTAACCACCAGGCTGTGAGAAGAGCACTTCACATTCAGCTGTCACATTTACCTCGGAACCTGGGTCTTCTTTTCTTGTCTCTCTAGTTTGTTGTACCCATTTCCTGTTATTCTCTTCCCAGTCTCTCTCTAGCTCTTTCTCCCTCGACTTTCTCTCCCTACCTCACATCTCTCTTCTCCCCTACCGTTTACTTCCTGTTCTTTCATTGCTTCTGTATCTCCTACTCTTTCATAGCTCTATCCTTATCTCTATTATGAGGAAATTCCCCCACTTTAGGTTAAAATTAAACCTTGAACATTCTCACCTATCAAAAAGAATTCTTTTTTAAAAGGAGTGGGGAGAGGTTTCAAGGTTATATAAGAAATGTAGTAAATGCACTTTGTTCCATAAGATTTCAAAGGCTAGTGTTTATTATATTAAAATAAGCCTTAAAGATTGCTAATTTCATAAAGGTGGTTATCTGGTTTCATCTGATCCCTTCAATTCTTTATAGAACTGGATAGCAGCAGATTAAAACCAGCAAGAGATTGGGCAGCAGGAAAACAACTGCTAGAATCAGAATAGCTGATAAATGACCACAGAATGACTGACTATAAAAGCACAATAATATAAGGCCACGAGGCTTTGAATGTCTCAGTTATCCATCCCTAAGAGCATCACTCTAATATAGAACCATACCGTGGCCCTTGTTTAATAAGGAGGTGAAAAGTATGATTCTTCTTAAAGCTATTTCCATCCAAAATGGCTGAAATGGGAAATTTCAGAGCTATTACTATGTATATTATATTAAGAATATAAACATAAAATTTATACTAATAGAGTAAATTTTCTTAGTAAATTCATTGAACAAACACTTACTGAGGACCTACCATGGACCAATAACTGAAACCAATGTGAAAATGAATTCAAAATGGTCCCTGCCCTCAGAAACTTTCAGTTTAGAGGAGATAGATATAAACAGTTAACACAGTACAGTGGACTGGATGTAGCAATAAATATATGCTTTAACGTCTCTCCACTGAGAACTGGATGAGTAGAACCTCAGAGCTCAGGTATTGCCAACCTGAATGTTGCCAAAATTAAGGTTTGCATAATTACCACAGCTGTTATATAATCCTCTATCTTGTGATTCTATAATTACATGATCTCCTGTAAAAATCTTACCACATACATCAAGTAAAACCATTTCAGTTACACCTTAAAAGAAGAAACCTCATTTATAAGTCATGTAGCCGACTGCTAATTTAGTGTAAACCTGGGTATAAATGAGGAATACAAACTTGCTTTGTTTTGTTTTGTTTCTGGGGAGGTGTTTATTTTTAACCGTGATGTCCTAATTGGTTCTATTCTCTCCCTTGGCTCTCCCTGCCACAGTTCCAGAGTTATCAGTAGGCTAGATAGAAGGTGACCTCTCCTCATAAGGACTTGGACAACTCAGATTATCTGAAGACACAAACCTGATAGGAGGGAGAAGAAAAAACAAAACACTTGAAGCAAGAAATGCAAATGTAATCCTACGATCAAAGCAGCTGGTCAACACTTCCATCAGAAGTGAAGATAGGAAGCTCATCAGACAGAACATCAGCCCATGAGATGTTCGCAACATATCAATTTGTTGCAAGCAGTGTGTCGCTTCTGCACAATCAGAGACTGTCTCGATCTCTCCACTCACCGTGGAAGTTGCCTTGTGCCTAAACTGAATTGACAAATGCATTGTAACTACAAATTTTATTTATTGTTATGGAACTGTAAGGTCTACATATAAAGGGAAAAAGTTAATGTGGAAAGCTGATCTCCACTCAGCTGATGCCAGCATTAGTTAAAGCTGTTCGCGTGCAGAGAACAAAGCAGTGACAACCATTGGCCCTTAGCATTCCCGGCATACCTATTAGTGTCTTAAAAAGGAAGGGAAAAGTCTTTTGTTGCCCTCTCCTATCCTTTTGCCATATGAATAGTGTTTTCCAAGAAATAGGAAAATATTACTTGGTATAGCATTTCTCTCATGCTCATTTTTTCATTCATTTTTATTTTTTCTTTTTGGGTGTTGTATTTGGTCTCTGAATCTGAATAGTTTATGGTCACAGTCCAGAATCCTCCATGTAGCCCTATGTGCTTTGCATATTTACTTTACAAAGATAAGCAGAGACCATCTGTGACCATAGCCTAGCTAAGATTTTTAAAAGGGGAAATTTTGTCCCCTATATTTTCCCCCAAATAAATATTGCTTTATTTCTAATAATAACAAGACTTTTCAAGCTTCTAGGTTTCATAGTAAAGCTTGTAATAGAAGTGTAAATTACAAGGGAAGAATTTACTTTTTAGAAATTGCTTTGTTTTCCAAGCAGTAAGTACTACATATAGTACTTATAAAGTGTTAGCTGTAAGTAAGCACAAAATGAATTTAAAATACAAAGAAGATTTTCAGGCTGTGATTATGTTGAATATAACAACCCAGCAGTCACCAAGGCAGGTAGTGTGATAAATGAACACACCACTCTGAGGCTAATTACCTAATGGAATACAAGAGCAATGGTCACCCATGTCCTTATTCTAGCCTTTATTTCTCTGTCATTTGGATGGCTGGTTAGTGGGGAGGAATTCAGTGGGTGATGTAATCAACTGCAAACCATCTGCCCTGTCCCAAGAAGATGAGCCAGATTAGCATTTAACCAGTCCTTGTCAGTCCATCTTAATACTGTGCATTAAGGCACCCCTCTGTCTCTAATCCTTAAGAGTTTTTTTTTAAGACACAATAATCACTTTGAACTTCCATGAAACCTGTCTTCCACCACAACAACCCTGGGAGAGAAAAACATGCTAATAAACAAGGTTGTCTTGGCTTAATAATTCCTTATAGCCAATATCAACAAGGGCAATCAGCACACAGAAGAAAGGACCCAAATCACTATGTAACTTAAAGATTTCTGTTAATTTGAAAGAACAAAAACAATTAAGACAGAACTTCAGATTCTCCAATCAGGATGATACCTAACAAATCAGTCTTTCGTGAACGTAATGGACTTTCTGGTAACTTTAATTTGCCTATATTCTCCAATTACATCAGACTCTCTCTGTGGCCTTGTTCTTCATTTCAGTGTTAATCAGCTAAAACAGAAGTTGTTGCTTATGATGTGTGAGTGAACATATGCCACTGCCTGGCCTTTTTTCTTCAGAGCTTGTTGTCTTTTTCGCTATATTAGACTTTGCAGTATGCCCAGAAGCTTTCCTTCATAAAATAGAAAGAAAAAAACATTTGGCTTATTTTTCACTGTAGCTAGTCTTTTATACAATAATCTTGTAAGAAAATTTCTTGAATTCTAAATATTACTCTTTCTAGATTTTTGAAATCGAAAAGTTTTCAGTAAAAAGTTTCTTACTTTATTTTATTATATTAGGTAGTAAAAATGTAGGGTTATTTACCATAACCTGTTCATTAATATCAGAAATTTACAATAGCATTTTAAGACCATAGTAGAATTCTAGCATACCGCGTAGTACCTATGGAGTATTGTAAGAGCTAATTGTCCGAGACGAATTGCTTCTCATCTTGTTCTCCAGTTTCCATTGTTGGTTTATTGCAGATTTGTATCCTGTGTCAAATGCAAGGTATTACTGATAAACCTTTTGAACCAGCAGCAAGAAGTTCAAAATTTTTTCTGTCACTGTAACAGAAAACACAATATGTATATAACATTTATGTAGCAATAAATGTGCCATCTTTTTTTTTAACATAGTAAACTAGTGAGTTTTTTACATTCCTCTCTCAAACAGTAATGCATTTTGGTTTTTTTTCCTCCATCTCATTGCTCCCAGGAATGCTCACACTGCTTTTCTTTCTTTTCTCCCAGCTTTCTTGAGATATAGTTGACATATAATATTGTGTATGTTTAAGATGTAGAACGTCATGATTTGATATATGTATATATTGCAAAATGATTACCACAGCAAGGTTAGTTAACACATCTATCACCTTACATAGTTCCTTTTTGGCGTGTGTGGCAAAAATGTTTAACGACCACGCTGCTTTTCTTACGTGCATTGCCTGTGACCTTATCTGGGAAACCCATCAGGACAGAATCAGACTTGTAGAACTAAGCTGCTAATCTAGTCTATAGCTTCTCTGGGTTATATGTTTCTCCTCTTGCCCTCTCTACTGATAGTGGCCTTTTAGCCTTTTCCTGAAGGTTTACCAATGGTGATTAGTAGTTAAAATCTGCTTACTTGTAGATCTAGAGAAAAACGAAGATGGAAAAGGACTCAAATGAAGCTTTCAAATTAACATTATTTGAAGCACTTTCACATGTTTTATATCCCTTTTCTCACAAAAAGCCTATCATAATTAGGAGATGGTATTATTTACTGTTCTCAGATTAAAAGTTCTGCTCTTATCCCAGTTTTCACATACAGCCCCACTCCACCCCCCTGCCAAAAATATGCATAGTGCTTATCCACAAGGACTTCAGCCACGCAAGAGCCTAAAACAAACAGTGGATGAACTTTTTTGGACAAACTTTCGTAGGGCCTATACGTGAGACACCCAAGATCATCGTCACACCCTCTTGGGATCCTGACAAATTGCTTCTCTTGGTGAATTATGAAATCCACTGTTCACATTGGAGGCCCAACAGATCATTTTACTCGTAGGAGTTGAAAACAAACATTTTAGTTCGATTTTTCTTTATACAGATTGATGAATAAAATATAGATTATTATAATTAAATGAAATCTAGAAACCATCTCATCAACCACCTCATTAATAGCTTTATAAAAACTGAGGCCCAGAGAGGTTGTATGTCTCCAAAAGCACATAACTAGTAACAGATTAAGACACTTAAAACGTGTCCTACAAAATCTTCTTGCCTTTACTTTTTGTCCTTTGTCTTTATAGATTTTTAGGCCAATTCTCTTTAGTGGCTTCACTTTTTTCTCTCCTCTACTACATTTTTTTCTTTCATTTTTCTCTCCTCTAGTTCATATATATTTTTCTTCCATGGAAACTCAGAATTTAAATGTACATCACGTCATGTGTGCATGCATGTGTGCATGCATGTGTGTGTGTATCAAAGGTTAAAGAGTATTAGCTTTGGCATCAAACAGTCCTCGATTCAGTCCAGGCTCAACATCTAGTTAGCTCCATTTCCCTATCTGAAAAATGGAGATACATATTAGAATTGTGTAAGTATTGAATGAAACAATGTATGGAAAGCTCTTACCTTGGTTCCTGTCACATAAGTACTCAATAAATGATAAATATTTTTTAAATAAATAGTAGCTTTCCTTTTAACCAGCTCCCAGGAAGATTCTTCTTCAGCCATCCTGTGAGAGAGGTAAATGGTGGTAAAAATAACCCCAAGAAGATGTCAACCCATCTTTGCAGGAGTCTACATTCTTTGGGGGCAAGCCAATGAAACATACTCAGTGCCCTCCAGTTGGGTACGTTTTATGAGGACTTTTTTTTTAAACCTTCACATTTCAAAAGAGTGAGCCAGTAGGCTTTGCCCAGTCACACTTTATGGGTTGGCAGCTAAGTCAGTTTGGGTCCTCAGGAAGCAGATACCAAGATAGAAGTGCAAGGGATTTATTGGAGGTAGCACCTGTGGGAAACAAAAGGGAAAGGAATCAGGAGTAATTAGGGATGGGATTCAGACCATGATGCAGGTCTGACATCTGTGAAAGAAGGGGAGAGGAAGGCAGATTAGGTAAGGAGAACCTCAGACTGTCTGTAGCTCTGGACAAAGTCCTGAGGTCCAAGAAGATTGCCCATTGAGGAGTCTTGTGTTGGACAGAAGTGGTAAGGTGCCAGTGTCCCTGTGGTGGGCAGTCACCTGGGAGTTACCTGAGAAGACAGGCCTCAGTTTGAATACTCCAAAGTTCTGCACTTGGAGGCTGAGAGCTAACTGCACTCCCCTGACTGGTTATCCCTTGAAGGGAGATCTCAGAGGTGCACCTCCATGGCTTTCACGGCACCTCATTGCTACTTCCTACAGAACTGGCAGAACAAAACCAAAGGGTCTACTGCAGTCACTGGGACCACAGCTGACCTCAACAGGCTCATCAGAATTTCAAAAACTGCAATTCTTTCTCCCCTGGCATTGTGCTGTCAAGGAAACCTACGTGTGTTATCAAGAAGGACAATTCCATTCCTCCTCCATTTTCATGGGCCATTATGTAGGCTGGTATAATCTGAGTCTGAGTCCCTAAAGTTGCTGTGTTATTCTGGTGTTCTTCACAGGACATTGTGATAGTCCCTGTCTTCTGGGTCAGTGGATGGTCCACAGGCTCTTTGTGGCAACCTGGCTTTGGAAGGCCACAGTGTCCTCATTGTTTTGAGGTGTTTCCCTATGCTGCCCCCAGCCCCCGGAGCTCTTACCTCTGCCCTGTACTTGAGGCGTGTTTGTGTAAGTAGAAATATCTTTCTTGTCTTCTTTTTCTTTCCCTCTTTAATCATTTATTCCAGAAGACATCTTTAAAGGGCTTTTCTGTTCCCTTTGGCCTAGACCGCTAGTCTTCCAGAACTGATGTGGGGCACTGCTGCATGTGGCCAGGTTCTCCTTTCTCACTCATGAGGGTGGGTGCCCCCCTAGACAGGGTGCCTGGCTGTGTGGTCTCTCAGGCTCTCCGGGCCATTTTATCCTTGGAAACTGCAAGCACAATGCCCAAAGCTTCCAAGCCTGTTAAAGCCTGTGAAAATGCAACCTGAAAAATATTGTGCCAAAAGATTAAAAAACTGCAAAAATGAAATTAATTTTAAAAACAATTACAAATATCATTTCAAAATTTTATAGCAAAATAAAATTACTATTTAATGTGGGATTTGAGCTCATTTCATGTATCTTTATACATACATACATATATATATGTATATATACACACACACACATATGATGGAAAGGCCTTAAATACCTTCCAAAGGTTTAACACCTTGGGTTCCTTCAATTCCAGTCTCTTTCATTTAATACATTTGTCTTTGGTTTCTTAATAATCTTGGGAAGACAACCATGTCTTCCCCTCTGGAGGTGAGGACCATTGGTGTATCTCTGAAGATCTAACCTGCCTAGGCCATGAGAACCCCCCGAGACAGCACGAGTTTTTTAGAAGCGCTAAACAGACCACTCTTCCCCTGCTTCCAGGGTGAGTTCTTCCTCAGTCCCTTGCAGCCCTATGAGATTTTTTGCTTTCTCCCATTTCTCTGGCCTTCAGCCCCTTCCGACAAGCCTGAGTTTTCTCCTGGAGAGCTGGTCCTTGTTGAACTGAGGTGGTAGCCCAGTGTTGGGAGCAGGCCCGGGGCAGGGCCTCTGGTCCACAAGCTGGAGGGATCACCTTGTCCTGAAATACACCCAGCCATCAGCTGTGATAGATTTTCTCCATCCGAGTACTCCCAGTGGCCACCCTCGCAACTCAGGGAAGCCGGATGATGTTCCGAAGCAGCACCGTGATGAAGCTCTGGCCCCTGCCTTGCAGGGCTGTGGGCATTGGGAAGTCCTACTTATGGGGCCACCTCACACTCAAGCTCCAGCCCCAGGAGCCTCTCCTGAGGCCTCCATCCTGTCGGGCTGAGCCACCACACCCCACTCATGCCAGGCCACCCCCAGGTCATCCTGCCTCACGCCCAATAAAGCCTGTGCTGAAAGGACCAGGGTTGTTTTTCAGACTCTTTCAGCAGGGAGGTATTGATCAACCCTGATAGTGCAGGGAGCTCGATCTCACCCCGGACTGGCAGAGATTAATTAGTTTGATTCCCAAGCATAATCCCTAATTAGGCACAGGAAGAAAGGAAAGAAAACACAAAGGAACTATTCTTCTGTTCCAGAGGGGGAGGGGGAGGAACGGGAAACGGAGGAAGGAGCAGGTAAACATATTCCAGCACCTGAGTGCCTACTCCCAACCAACCCAAGAGCACAAACGTTGCTGAGGAGGGGGTGTCTTCCTGCGAGGATCTCATATGAAAATGTGCCTTTAGTTTCTTTGTTTTGCTCCGTGCCTAACGATGCACAGGAAGGTGCGATTAAGCGCTACGCTTTGAAGTACCTGCTCTAGGCTTGCTCAGCCTCCAGAGGCTGAGGTTGCCGCAGGGGAGAAATCAGCTCCGTTGGGCTGGGAGAAAAAGGTTGGATGGGGAGGGGGTAATCACCCTGAGACCCGAGTACAGATAGTGAAAGGAAACATTTCCCGTAGCTGAGAAGGAGGGGCACCCCTTCCAGAGCCCAAGAGTGGGCTCTTGTCTAACTCTCGGAAATGAACTTTCCGAGGAGACACACGTGCTGACAAAGCAAGAGACTATTGGGAAGAGGCGCCCAGGTGGAGAGCAGCAGCGTAAGGGAACCCAGGAGAACTGCCCTGCCACGGGGCTCGCAGCCTTGGGTTTTATGGTGATGGGGTTAGTTTCCGAGTTTTCTCCGGCCAGTCATCTTGCTTGGCACACAGCTGGTGACTCAGGGTCCTTCCTGGTTGCGCACGCATCTCTCAGCCAAGAGGATTGGCTGGATTCCAGCGTGAAGGATTCTGGGAGGTTGGTCGTCTCCTCCTCCTTTGGGCCCGTCCTGAATTCTCCTGGGTAGTTTTCCGAGGCAGCGCTTCGTTTCTTATGGGAACCTCCTGTGGTGAGACAACTCAGGTAAGCGGGTTATCATCGTGTCTGGCCAAGGTGGGCGGTTTTGGTCAAGGGTTCCCTAACATTATTACTAGCATTTTCTAGAACTTTCCAGCCAGGACTGACGGGTAGTGGGGAGGGCAATGGGAGGAAGGAGGGACCTCACTTAGCCGTGAGATTTGGCCAATCAAAACTTCACCCCGGGGCTTCCCTGGTGGCGCAGTGGTTGGGAGTCCGCCTGCCGATGCAGGGGACGCGGGTTCGTGCCCCGGTCCGGGAAGATCCCACATGCCGCGGAGCGGCTGGGCCCGTGAGCCATGGCCGCTGAGCCTGCGCATTCGGAGCCTGTGCTCCGCCACGGGAGGCCACAACAGTGAGAGGCCCGCATACCGCAAAAAAAAAAAAAAAAAAAAAAAAAAAAAAACTTCACCCCGGGGAACTTCAGTTTCCTCTTCTGTAAAATGGGGGTAATTTACAATCATACTAGCTCGTGTGATGGTTCTGAGAATGAATTGAGTTCAGAGGTGCATGGCACACAGTAGGCACTTTCTAACCCACCTAACGAAAGCAAACCAAGGGAGCAGCAAATCAAAAAATGATGTAGCCATTAAGAAAGTAATTGTTTATATTTTTAGGTGTGATTGCTTTTCTGCAAGTCCTTGTCTTGTAGAGATGCGTGTGCTGTAGTATTTACAGAGGGAACGATGAGGTGTCTGGAATTAGCTTCGGTATAGGGCAGGCAACGGGGGTGGGGTGGGATGACAGGGTTTAGATGAAACAAGATTGGCTGTGAGTCTATCCTTGTTAAACCTGGGTGACAGATACATAAGGGTTCATTATGCTCTTTATTTTGTAGATGTTTGACATTTTTCATGACAAGTTGAAAGAGAGGAGAAAGGAAGGAAGGAAGGGAGGAAGAGCGGGAGGAGGGGGCCGGGGGGGTGGCGGCAAGAAGGAGGAAAGAAGATTCTGCCTAAGTGTCCCTTCTGAAACCTTCCCCAAGCGCCACATTGTCAGGGGACAGAGGGTGTTTTCTGCTCATCCTGAGCAATGAGACCCATGAGGAGACAGGAGGGTCATCCAGGGAGCAGCCCCAAGTGGCAAAGTCCCTCCGGGGACCATGGAGAGAGACAGCAGGACAGGGTGACAGCGGACAGTGGATCCTAGCACAGGTCTTGCCCGTGACATTGGGTGGCGTAGGGCCATGGGACCAGAAGGGATACTTAGAGGGGAGAACAGAAAGAGCTGTGGAGGAGGAAGCAATGTGAGCCCACTTCCCTAAAGAAAGGGTGGCAGGGCCGGCAAGGTTGAAGGTGGGGTGCTCCAGAATTCGAGTGGGCTTTTTGAAGGAGAAGGAGAGCCTGCGGTACCCCCAGGTACCAAGCAGCTGGTATCTGGAGAGACACAGGCCACTCCGGGTAGTCTGTGGTCTGGAAATTGGAGTGTCTGCTCCCCTCACCAGCTGGCGGGTGGCCCTGGTCTAGGTGCTGGGCCTCCACCAACGGCAAAGTTCCCCCAGGTGCCTGCGTGGGGAAGACAGGCACCCCAATCCCTCACGTGACCAACCGGAGCGTCCCCATTTCCCTGAGGCTTCTCCAGGGGTCCCCACAGGACTGAGAACCGTACCGCGGTGACCCTTTCCCCAAGGAAGTGCTGTGTCCCAGAGCAGCCTTCATGGGGGTGACATGTCCAGATCTGCCCAAGAAGGCTGGTGATGGAGAGAGCAGAATCTGCCAATCAGTGTGGGGAAAAGTGGATTCTGCAACAACCTTGATGAGGTTAAGAGCTTGGGGGGGCCTGGGAAGACCAAATGTTTAATATTTGGGAGAGAGACTGTCTAAACAAAGCAATGAGGAGGCCGCTTTGTAGTGATATGAAAGCGATGAATTAGGTTTATCCGACATCAAAGGACAGGAGATACAATGGGGACTGAGGCCCCCAGGCAGCGTGGGCAGGGCTGGAGCAGAGACTTCGCAGACTCCAGTGTGGTGGAGAAGAGCTCCAATGGTGTGTGTCTGAGCATTGCTTTGAAGCCCCCTTCCATCATTTAACACACTTCCTAAAACCTCCCCCAAAGCGGCCTTTTCAAAAGCAACATTTGCTACCAACCAGGAGAAACACAGGAGCCTGCCCTCCCCTGTTGACCGTTGAGAAGAGGGTGCTTGCCGACTGTTTCTTCTTGAGGATAAACTGAGGATGGGGGCCTGCCCGGCAGGCGGTGCCAACAGTGGAACCCACTGAGGCTCTGGGGCTCAACAGAACTGAGTGAGAACCTGCTTCTGCTTCCACTGACTGGGTAACCCTAGGCAAGTCACTTGGCCTCTCTGAGCATTAACTGTTTTGCCTATAAAATGGAAACAGTAATCCCTAAATCACCAGGGTGTGGTGTCCGGCAGAGGGAAGTTGGAGAAAAGGAAAAGACCCCTTTGGATGGATTCTGATGGGCGCAGAAAGAACTAAACCAGTCACCCCAGGGGGCCTTTCTCCAAACTCCTGGCAGAGAGCTGATTACAGTCTCCACTAAGTACCCGACATCTTCCTGGGCCAGGGGCGTCCCAGGGGCTGGGTATCTACTGCACAGCCTGCCAGCCCCGGCTGGCTTGTTAGAACACAGGATGACTTTTGTGGTTCATTCGACCCCCAAATTCGGTGATGCTACATCTTGATCACACATTTTGAAATGTTTGGGGGTGAAATGCTGTGATATATGGGATTTATTTTAAGATATTTTAGCAAAAAAAAAAATGTAGAGTAGATGAAACAAGAATGTCAGAATATTGATCATTCTTAAAACTGGATGGGCTTCCCTGGTGGCACAGTGGTTGAGAGTCCGCCTGCCAATGCAGGGGACATGGGTTCGTGCCCCGGTCCGGGAAGATCCCACATGCCGCGGCGCGGCTGGGCCCGTGAGCCATGGCCGCTGAGCCTGCGCGTCCGGAGCCTGTGCTCCGCAATGGGAGAGGCCACAACAGTGAGAGGCCCGCGTACCGCAAAATATAAAAAATAAAAATAAACTGGATGAAGATTTATTATTTTATTCTCCCCTACTTTTGTGTATGTTTGACATTTTTCATAAGAAGAAGTTAAAGTTACAAAAATACATGTCAGGGGCTTCCCTGGTGGTGCAGTGGTTGAGAGTCCGCCTGCCAATGCAGGGGACACGGGTTCGTGCCCCAGTCCGGGAGGATCCCACATGCCACGGAGCAGCTGGGCCCCTGGGCCATGGCCGCTGGGCCTGCGCGTCCGGAGCCTGTGCTCCGCAGCGGGAGGGGCCGCAACAGTGAGAGACCTGCGTACCGCCAAAAAAAAAAAAAAAAAAAAAAATACATGTCAGGTTCTTGTAGCTCCAGTTCCCTGCCGGGTGGGGCTGAAGCTGGCCTGATGGGACTCCCTGTGCCTCCCTCCCTCTCTGCCCCAACGTTCAGGGTCTTCTGAAGTGGTGGGCACTGCACCTGGTGCTGTGGGAAACCCAACGATGACCACAATGCAGACCAGCAGGAGAGGCTAAAACATTAATGAAAAATAACAAGGCAGCACAGCAAGGGCTCCCCAGGGTGCGGACCCAGGGCTCTGGACCTGAGAAGGGAGCAGTTAACTCAGACAACAGAGGGTGTCAGGGAGGACTGACCATGGTGACAAACTAATAGTAGCAGCAGGATCAAGCATTAGCTGGGGTCCTAGGGGACTGTGGGCCTCACATGATGGGGGGTTTAGAGCAGAGGTACATTCACTGCGTGGCGTGGATTCTTATGCTTGCTAAAGTGAGCTGAATTCTAACTTAATGCATTTGGAGTGACACAAGACAGGAGGAGTTAGACATGCCATTGAACCAGCAGGACGTTTTTAAAGCTCAGTCCAGCCATTGACTTCAGGTCCTCTTGGTAGAAATAAATCAGGTTTCCTGGGCAAACCTGAGTTCCATTCCCTCATTCATTCAATCATTCAGTTACAAATTCTTTTTTATTTCTTACAACTCTGTGGGTCAGGGATTCAGGCAGGGATCAGCTGGGCAGTTCTTCTGCTCCAAATGGTGTTGGCTGGGGTCACCCTACCCTCAGGGAGCTCCCTCTCTAGTTGGGGTGGCAGGTAGGTTCCTACACTGCTAGGACGGGGAGCACACAGAGTTCCTACACAACTTCAGGAGAAGACTTCACACCTTCAGTCTCCACAGGTAGGAGTCCTTCCTAGTGCATGAGAGGGTTCTGTGTTAGCCAGCCAAGCACACACAGAGTCTGGAGAATTACAGTGTGGTACTTTACTCCTAGTTCAAGTCATATCCTCTACAACATACAGACTGCACAGGGCAGGGCGAGGTGTGTGTGTGGAGGTAACCCCTGTACCCTACTGCACCCACCCCCTCCCCCAGCCCTGCAATGCCAGCGGTCCTGGCACCTCCACCTTCAGGGCTGACTCAATGACTCCTCTGCTAGCAGGCCCGGTAATAGGCACCCGGCCCCTTTCCCCTCGTGACTCTCTTCCCTGCTTCCTCTTCCTCCCCTGCACCCTCCTGTTCTTATCCGACCAGGGCTAGGCCAATCACTCAGCACCATTGTGGATGGACAGAGGGGAAGAGCCAGCAGATCCTGGAGACAGGCATCTGTGAGATGACCAGAGCTGTCCACGGCCACGACAAGCCTCCTGCAGCGTAGTCTCCTGTGTGTGGTCACACACGCCAAGACTTCACAGGGCGTGACCACAGGCCCCTGTGCTGTCCCAGCTTCGGGGTGTGCACGGACCCAGGAAAAACTCAGTATTTGGGGTGAGGAGGGGACTTCTGGGAGTTCACACCCCAGCCCCTCCACTGTTTGTAAAAAGTGGGAGGCAGCCAAGCAAGGCAGAGCTCTGGGCCAGCTCCCCATCCCAGGTGCTCCGTGAGACACAGGGGAGGTGGAAGAAGGGAAGCCAAGGTCCTTTGGGAATCAGGTGACTCAGCAAGGGACCCCAAGCAGTTAAAAGTGAAATTTTGTTTCTTGTGATTCAGGAATTCTTATCCCACCCTGTCTCTCCACACCTGGGCAGGGGAGGGGTCCCAAGGCCCCAGCAGACACTCTCAGGTCTTCCTTTAATGCCGGGCAGCACGGCTGGGACGGGCTGACCTCTCTAAGCCAGCTCGGGGATATCTCGATGGAAGGAACCACAGGGGAACCTGCAACCAGGTTCGTGGTGGGCTTTATTCGTTTGCCCTGTGGGGTTTTCTACAGGGATGCTGCCATGCCCTGGTCTCAGCCTCCTGTCTGTTGCCTGGCACCCTGATCCCACTTATCCTGGAGGGAGAAATCCCATTTTCCCACTCCCACCCCCACGCTCCTTTCTAGAGCAGCCAGGATGAACGACTCAGTCCCTTCCCTGGAGTCCGGCGGCAGCATGTCAGTTGGAGGGGGATGTGGATTGGGGCCATAAAATTTTCTCAGTCATTGAATAAAGGATTTAGTTATTTAGACAAACTAAATATGTTAGGCTATCTATACTAACTACATGAATTAGATTCATTTTTCAAAATTTTAAATGTCTCAACTTTATCCAGAGACTGAAAGGCCTATAGCAAGCCAGGGGAGGGTGGGATCTTTGAACGTGCTCAGGGAAAACCACTGGCTGGATGATTCCCTAAGAAAAGGGACACAGTCACCGAGAACTCTGCCTTTTCTGCCAACACCGGGGTCCAGAGAAGGCAAGTGCTCTTCCAATGAGGGTGAACAAAGTCAGATAAGATGAGGGAGCTCAAAGCAATGGAGGGGCTGGCATGCGGGATGGGTGTTTTATTTACCTTTCTCAGTGGGGAGCTCCCCAGAAATACCCGGGGTCCACAGAGAGCTCTCTATTCCAAATCGCAGGTCTCCTCTCCTCTCTTCTGCTGAGAGAGCGAATCCCGGCCTTAGACTTGATCTGCCCTCCAGCCAGCGACCTCCGTTGTTCCTCCTGTTGGATCTGATAACAACAAATGCAGAACTTCCAGCAACCAGTTGGTTTGAACAAGAGGTGGGTCATCGATTTAATGAAATGTTCACTAGAAGCCCCCCACAAAGAAAAGGTCCCATCTGGGGACTGGGGGTAACATGACGGGCTAGTGGCAGACCCTTCACTTAACAGGCCAGTCAGGTCGCTATTGGCTGGAGTGATACCCAGAGTTGGGATTATTTGTTTCCAAGGAACTGAAATCTCTCTGGGGAGGAAGTATGTCCCTATTTGTATCTTCGATTGGGAAGCAGGACTGTCCCCCACTCACTAGAAACAAGAGAAGGAAGATATGCCATCCTAGGTGCACATGGGTTAGTGCTAGGCTGTGTGAGTGTGAGTGTGGGTGAGGTGTGTCTATGTGCCTGTGAACTTGTTAACCTTTGAATCTGGATTTGAGGACCACCACTCTGAATGAAAAGACTCTGTCCTTTGAAGAGTATACCACCCATGGGAGGAGAAAAACAGAGAAAATGCCTGTGAAACAAGGAATGACGTATTGGGGGGGATAACATATGTAAAAGTGCCTGGAACACAACACTCAATGAACAGCAGGTGACATTATTTGCAGACATAACCAAGGGTGTTATTTAAGATCAAAAGCTTCAGAGAATCAGGGGTCTGGATCTGAATCCTGGCTTGGTTTGTGACCTTGGGCTTAATCTTTTTTTATTTAACTTTTTCTTTTCAATAATTTTAGGTTTACAGAAGAGTTCCAAATACAGTATAGAAAGTTCCCTTGTATCCTTTACCCCGCTTCCTCTAATATCTTACATAATGAGGTACACGTATTAAAACTAAGAAATTAGGGACTTCCCTGGTGGCGCAGTGGTTGGGAGTCCGCCTGCCGATGCAGGGGACGCGGGTTCGTGCCCCGGTCCGGGAGGATCCCACGTGCCGCGGAGCGGCTGGGCCCGTGAGCCATGGCCGCTGAGCCTGTGCGTCCGGAGCCTGTCCTCCGCAGTGGGAGAGGCCACAACAGTGAGAGGCCCGCGTATCGCAAAAAAAAAAAAAAACAAAAAAAAACAAAAAAAAAACTAAGAAATTAACAGTGGTACATTACTAGGAACTAAAACTAGACTTCATTCAGGTTTTACCGTGTTTCCTACTAATGTCCTTTTTCTGTTCTAGGATCCAATCCATGATACCATGTTGCATTTAGCTGTGTCCAGTCTGTGACTATTTCTCAATTTTTCCTTGTGTTCTCTTGACTTTGACACTTTGAAGAGTACAGGGCAGGGACTGTAGCTCGATTTATAACTTTTTCTGGCCTTTCCTCACGCCAGGTTATGGATTTGGGGGAAGAACACCACAGGGGTGAAGTGCCCTTATCATATCATGTGGGGGGTATCTGCTCTCGACATGACTTATCGCTGGCGATGTCGCCTGTATCACTTGCGTAGGGTGGTGTCTGCCAGTTTCCTCCACTGCAAAGTTACTATTTTCCCTTTCCATGTTTTATTCCTTAGAAGCCAGTCACTAAATCCAGCCCACACTCAAGGACAGAGGAATTAAGCCACACCTCTTGGAGGGAGGGGTAGTCACGTTACATTTGGAATTCTGTAAGGCAGATTTGACCCTTCTCCCTCATTCTACTTAATCTTTTTCAAGCCTCAGTTTCTCATCTGCAAAATGGGCTATTCAATGGAGAGGCTTGTTGGAAGGTTTAAATAATATAATGTGTGAACAGTCCTTAGCACTAACAAAGGTTAAATATTATGATCAGAAATGATCCAAGACACATCAAACTATTTGCAGGAGTCATTTAACTTGGCCCATTGTGCAGCTGTCAATGTTGGTCTCCTCTAGACACGGAGAGTGAAGGCCCCTGAGAGGGGCAGTTTGGGGCCAGGCTAATGTTGGGCTGCTTTCTGCCCCTCCTGAGAGCCCCACACACGAGAGGGGAGGTCTGGAGACAGGATGCCCAGAGCCCACTGAAGGCACGGCCTAACCACAGATGTGGTGTGTGGACTGGATGTTGGTGAAAGATGATAAAAATGCGATAAGAACCAAACACCTGAGAAACCACTCAGGAGGCCAAGACCAGAGTAGAGCCTAAGAGATAGTGAGTTCTCAGTAATTAGTCATCGACTGAATGGCCCAGTGAGAACTAAACAAAGAGCACTGGACTGGGAGTCCTGTTACTTGGGTCTTTCAATCCAGATTTTTTTTTTTTTTTTGCCAATTTGCCATGTGACACTGAGCAAGTTACTTAACTTGTCTGGGCTTCATATTCTGGCTGTGTGAACTGTGAGGAAGTTGGGGAAAGACAGGTCTAGGCCCACGCTGCAGAGGCAAGGTGCTCACCCGCACTTCTCCCTCATCACCCCGCTTTCTGTGACCCATACTAACTGTGGGACTCTCTACTGGGCTTTCAAAAACAGATGCCGATACCTTAGCACTTGTTGAAGGCCCAGGGCATCGTTAGAAGCTTGTCAGCATGTACAGTATGGTAAAGGCTGTTGCAGTACATGTTCTGCCTGTTTTTGCTCTGTGCTTCCTACATGTGCTGCTTTGATTTCTCTTCATCTGCCCCGACTGGTCTCATCTCCTGTTTGTCCTCAGCTGCTGAAAGGGCCACGTTTGTTTTCATTACAATAGCATCCTTGGGGAAACTTCCCTGGTGGTCCAGCATGTAAGACTCTGCCCTCCCAATGCAGGGGACCTGGGTTCGATCCCCGTTCAGGGAACTAGATCTCGCATGCGTGCCGCAACTAAGAGTCCTCATGCTGCAACAAAGATCCCGTGTGTCACAACTAAGACTCGGCGCAACCAAAATAAATAAATATTTTTTTAAAAAATGGGGGTGGGGTGCCCTTGTGCTCTCCTCAGAGGGGCCCCACTGGCACTCTGTGAAAGACAATCATATCCTTCTGTTTCCTCCATGTTTGTTTTTAGACAAAGATGTGATCAGAGGGGCTCTCTGGACTCATGGCCTTCAGAGGGGAGGTTAGCTTGGGTCTTCACCCCAGTCACTCATAACCTGAACATGTATATTCCTACACCGAAACAGAGCTGTTCTCCTTGCCCTTCAGGGAAGAAGCCTGGAGTCTGGGGAGGGAGATCATGAGACAGGAAAGGGCTCTTCAGAGGTGGAGGTGGGGCGGGTTTGATGAATTATTCTTCACATTTGATTTACTTTTCGAACTGTACTTCTCCTTCCCACAGGGGCTCTTTCTAGACCTAAACTGCCTCTGTCGGGGCTGCCTTAGTGCCAAGGTATCTCCCAGCTTCCCAGCCCTCTGGCCTTTTCCTCCCCTACCAGTGTTCCCAGAGCTCCTGCCCTTCTCTGGTCACCAAGCCGGAGGCTCGAGCACCTGGCCCGGCCGACCTTTCACGACCAGCGCTGGAGCGCCCCCTGCCGCTAGAAATTGCTATGACCATTGGGCAGAGGGTTCAGTTAGGGGGCTGATTAGGTTCTCGTCACACGGGCTGCAAACAGTGGCAAACAATTAATCAAAAAGAACTTCAGGCATCCACAGGCCAGCACTCTGCTGGGGATTGTGGAGGAAGCTGGATAAGATGCAGGGCATGCCTGCCAGGCTACAACCATGGGGCATCCCCCGCACCCCACCCCAGGCCACCTGACCCAGCTTTCAGCCAGACCCCAGGCTCCGTGCCAGCTCTGGCCCCTGGTGAAGGGAGATCTGAGACCCCTGGGTGAGGAGAGCAAGCAAGGCAGCATCAAGACGCCATCCCTGGGCTTCCCTGGTGGCTCAGTGGTTAAGAATCCGCCTGCCAATGCAGGGGACACGGGTTCGAGCCCTGGTCCAGGAAGATCCTACATGCCAGGGAACAACTAAGCCCACGAGCCACAACTACTGAGCCCTCATGCCACAACTACTGAAGGCCACGTGCCTAGAGCCCACGCTCCACAGCAAGAGAAGCCACCGCAATGAGAAGCCCGCGCACCGCAACAAGGAGTAGCCCCCGCTCGCCGCAACTAGAGAAAGCTGGCACAGCAACAAAGACCCAGTGCAGCCAAAAATAGATAAATAAGATAACATAAGTAAATTTATTTTTTTTTAAAAAAGGTGCCATCCCTGCAGGTCCTACCCGCTCCCCTTCCCTGGGGGCCAAACAGGGGCCAGTGACTTGCTGGCCTTGCTCCCTGCCCCCATTCTGCTCAGAGCCAAGTCTGCTTTTCCATCTCCCAGGGACCCCCACCCTCCTGCCCAGCCTGTGTGGCCTCTGGGCTGTAGGACGGCTCACACCAGGACCAGGGCCCACTCCCCCATGAGGCCCAGGAGGCCCCCTGTACCATAGGGGCCCATGGGAATATTTCCATTTCTTGTAGAATCAGAAGGCAGAAATAAACTTTTAGGCTGAAGAAAACGTTTTAGTATACAATGTTAACATCTTCATCTTTATACCAACACAGTCGTAAAATATAACTTTGAATGTTATTTAGAGAGTGAAAAGGGCCCTCACCCAAGTCCTAATGCAGCCCCTGGACGTGGCCGTCTGTCTGGGCAACCGTCTGACGGTCAGCGGGGCTAAGATGCCGGTGAAGGCCAGATTCCTCGGTCGTGGCGGTGACGAGATTCTCTCTAGAGAGGCTCGTGTGGATTCTTGGCTTTTTATTTTCTCTCTTAATAAAGATATGTGATGTTTACATTGTCAGAGAACAAACAGAACCTTGGCTTGTGTTTCACGTCTTAGGAAATGGGTCTCATGTACTTTTGGCTGTTCCCTCATGTTCCTGTAGTCGTAGATCCAGCCCCTTTGGAACGGAGGGACAGTACATCAAGATGTTGGTGGGTGGAGAGGGCAGGCATGTCCCTCCGTCGGCCCTCCCCTCTACTTATGGCCCTGGAATCCCTGTTTTGCCTTCCAGGTTGGTCCTCCTCCCGTTCCCACATCTGCCCTCGGGTGTCAGATGACCCCCACTTCTACCCCCCAGTGGCCTGTCTTCTTCCTACAGGCCAACCCGTCCTACGTGTCCTCAGCCTCGGCCCTCTCAGGGGTTCTGGAAACCTCTTCTGTATCTATTTCATTACTTCCCCCACTGTGTTAGTTTGCCA